TACAAGTGTGTTTAGTGCTTTGCAAATCACTGCGTATATTGTTCTTCAAAAAGTGTGAGGCTAACATGGTGCTTATGGTGGTGCAAATCTGGGCTCCTCAAGTGAAAGGTTCTGATAATTGTGCAATACTTTTGATTTTAGTGTTTGTGCAGTCGAAAAAAAAAAGAGAGAGAGAGAAAAAAAATGTAATTACAGATCTGTGAGAACAGAGGATGAAAAGTTACAAACCATGACCAGTTCTAGATAGTGATTATTCAGGCAGCTGCTCAGGCCTCTTTGGCCTTTAGATGTTAGCTGATCAAAAAAAATAAAATAAAAAAAAAGGAGAAATCTTCCAAGAAAATTGTCTTACAAAGAAATTTGCAGCAATAACTAGATGGAATCATTCTTTGACTCTTTTTTTTAATCTTGTACAAACCCCAGTTCCAATGGAGTTTGGACATTGTGTAAAACATGAATAAAAGCAGAATACACTGATTTTCAAATCCTTTGGATGTTGTGAATTTAGTTGAGTGCGCAACAAAAACAAGATATTAAATGTTAAAACTGATTTTTGTTTTGTTTTTTTTTGCAAATATTCACTTGTTTGGGAATGTAGACTTGTGTATGTATTTAATTTCCAATATAAGATTTTTACAATTTTCTAATATATGAGACTTGACCATGACTCCTAACAATAAAAAGTCAATCATCTCTAAATTGGAGGTTGGGGTTTGATCTCAGGTCCTGCTCTGGGCTCTATACAGTACACACCAGCCTCTGCCATCAGTGTCTGATTGTGGTGTAAATGGGTGGATGTGACTTGTGATGTAAAAGCACCTTAAGTGGTTAGAAGACTAGAAAAAGAGAGATAAACAGTCCATTTATACCACACCTGCTTCAGCCTGCTGAGAATGAATCCAAGACACATCAACAGGCAGGACGAGTACAGGTGGGACGTTTCTTCCCTCTTCATAGACTTTACAAATAAACTAGTGTGATACAGCAGTATCTCTGCCACAGTGTCTCACACTATTAAGTCAAGGACACCTCATTGTCTCACACTATCTCTGATCCAAACAACACGCTATAAGCAGAGCCATCTCCAGGACAAGGTGCAGCTGATAATGGAAACACACTCTCTCAAAACATGTCACATTTATGAGTGTCTAATTTGATTGTCTCTGAGGGTGTCAGTGTCATGTACATATTTACAGGCAGGTAACACACAGATTACTCTATCTGTCTTTGGTGAAGAGGTGCACTAATGTTGTTTTAGGTAAATTAGGAGCATGATTCACACCACATGAACTATTGCACATGTACATGTACACACTGCATTTCTGATGGAGAAGTGTTATATTGTTGGCTCAAGTGGGACTTGCTGCTTGTGTCTATTTTTGGTTATGGAGCATGGAGGTAGCGGAGTCTGACTTCGCTAAAGAGTAAATGCTCAGTAAGCAGAATAGCAGATGTTCAGGAGCTTTTGGGGGATTTTTAAGAAACCAACACAAACAGCGTGGTAAATGACCTCCTCCCCCACACACCCACACCACTGCCCTGGTTTGATCTGCCCTCCACCTTCCATTGGAGACACAGCTGAATGCTTTGTGCCTCATCTACTCCAAATTAAGTCTGCTGGGAGAAAGATTTTCAATTTTTAATCTAAATCCAAAAACATTTCACATCCCGTCATTTTTTTTCTCATCCTGACATGTTCTGATTGAAGCGATCATACCTGGCTGTGATTTATTTCCTAAATCAAAATGAATCAGGGAGTGAATTGACACTTACTCGCAGAGCTCACTGTTGTCCATTGTCACAGCTGAGATCAAGGCTTGATAGAGTGAAGGTCATCTCACTGTCTGAAGCTATCTGTTACGCCATAGCAATCAACAAAATCTATTTTCCATCACAGCGGCCGCAGAGGAAGAGATGGATTCGATGCACATAGACGGATATTGATTTGGCAATTTCCGAAGTATGATGGTCTCAACTGTTTTTATATGCCTCAGAGTGATGCTAGAGCAATGCTGGGACTTCCATTCTCTTTCTTAGAACACAAATGAACTCTCCTGACAGACGTTTCCACAGGTGTGAGATTAATACCTGAATCTAAACACTGTGTGCAAGGGCATGTCCTGCAGGGGAGTGAAGGCCAGAGTTTCTGAGAATAATTCATTCAAAAATAAGACCGCTGATAAAGTGACCTCAGCACTGATGATTCCACTGATGCTCTTCAGCTTTACAGTGTGATTACTCTGATATTATAACAGGTGCAGCAAAGAGCATCAGGTTCTGCCCATATTTAGATGGAATGTTGAGGATTTCAAACTTCATGCAGCAGTTACTGTGACCAGTGTAAAAGTCAAGCTCTTTGCACTGGCTCAATTGCTTGTTTCCCTGCAGGTATCCACATAAGAAAGGATTGGAAAACAAGGCGACTGAAGGTCATCAGACAATGAAACAGTTTTCACATAGTGGTGTTTGGCTTCGTGGTGGACAGAGTGAGTGGGTCTGATCTTACTCATTTAAACTTAGTCCTATCTTGATAATAAGGCTTCTTAAACAAAACAGAGTATGGTCTAAACCAAGTGTTTTTCAGACAGTATTTGTTGTGGGTTGGCCACATCAATGAAACAAAAAAAATATTTTAAGAAAAAAAGAGTGATGTTAATCAGGTCCTAAACAAAATCAAGTTGGGAATAAAGTTGTGGTAAAGTCAATATGCAAGGAGAATAAAGTGAGGATGTTTAGAGATTTAAGTCTAACTATGAGCTCAGTTTGTCTCACTCTTCATCTTTGTATTTCCGGTGACAATGGTCCATCTAGAACCAGAATCAGGTGTAAGACTCAGTAGAGGAAATCACCAACTCTATCGATGAGCGTAAGTTTGTAGCCGGAATATCTATTGACCTTAGGAAGGCATTTGATACCATCAATCACAAGATATTAATAGAAAAATTGGAACGGTTTGGTGTTAGAGGAATAGTCTTAATATGGGTGAGTAGCTACTTGAGTGACAGAAAGCAATTTGTGAGGTTGGGTGAATCAATATCATCATGTTTGACCATTGCTTGTGGAGTCCCCCAGGGGTCAGTATTGGGGCCGAAATTATTTATCCTTTATATAAATGACGTGTAATATATCTAAAGTATTAAAAATGGTAGTCTTTGCTGATGATACAAATATTTTCTGCTCTGGAAGTAATTTGCAGGAATTATTGAACATTGTTTCTTCTGAGTTGTGCAAGCTGAAGAGGTGGTGCGACAGAAATAAACTTTCATTAAACTTGTCTAAAACAAAATTTATGATATTTAGTAATAATAAAATAGATAATCATGTAAATATATATATATATATATATATATATATATATATATATATAGAGGGTGTTGCTATTGAAAGAGTATTCGAGAATACATTTCTAGGAGTGATAATTGATGATAAAATTAATTGGAAGTCTCAAATAAAATATATTCGAACAAAACTATCGAGAAGCGTTTCAGTTCTGAGCAAAGCAAAGCACATTCTGGATTCCAACTCACTCCGCATGCTGTACTGTTCCCTTGTTTTACCTTATTTAAATTACTGTTGTGAGGTTTGGGGCAATACCTATAAATCTTCACTCCATGGATTAACTATACTTCAAAAAAGAGCTATACGAATTATACATAAGGCTGCATATCGAAATCACACCAACACACTATTCATTAAGTCAAACCTGTTAAAATTTATGGATATTATCGAATACAAAACCGCCCTGATAATGTACAAAGCTAGGTACAATCATCTCCCTGGGAATATCCAGAAACTGTTCTTTGACAGAGAGGGTGGGTACAACCTTAGGGGGAAGTTAAATTTGAAAACTCTGTGTGCCCGAACAACATTGAAATCATTCTGTATCTTGATATGTGGAGTTAAACTTTGGAACAGTATAGATGTAGAGACAAAGCAATGTTCAAACATACACAAGTTCAAAAAAAGGTATAAAAAATGTATTATAATGAGGAAGAGTTACATGAACGATGACGACGTGTTCAATGACTGTACTGTATATACTGTATACTGTATATACATCTATGTATGTATGTATGTATGTATGTATGTATGCATGCATGCATGTATGTATGTATGTATGTAGGTATGTATGTATGTATGTACGTATGTACGCATATGTAATTTATTATTGAGATCACCAATTTAGTGTACAACCAAGAAATCCTTGATATGTGAGTGGTAAATCAATTTGTTAAAGTATACTTTATAGGTATACAGTAAGACAGTTTGTAAAGCGTTGACGCTGTGTAGTTGACAAAGGGGTAGGATCACATAAGTCTTGACTTCACCCTACTCCTTTTGAACATGATCATGATATTGGCCGATTATTGCCTGTTAGGCTTGTCTTTGATTTTATTATTATTATTTTTTTTATTTATTATTATTACTATTATTATTTTCTTTTCATAAAGCCTTGTTTTTTTTAACCTTATCATTATTTTTATCATGTATAAATAAAGATAAAAAAAAAAAAAAGACGTGGGAGTGTTGCACTTTAGTACAACATCTGAGTTGTAATACAACCTGTAAGTCTTCTTAATTGAAAATTTCTGAGCGTGTCATAGTTTTCAATGATCAAACCATGAAAATTCAGAAACATAGATAGATAGATAGATAGATAGATAGATAGATAGATAGATAGATAGATTGATTGATTCTATATCTTTCTATTAACTGGAAGACACACTAACGTTTCGTTTGTATGTAGATTAACTCTTAGTTAACCTAAACAAGCTCTTTCTGGGCACACAGCCGGCTCATTAGCCTTAGCATGTGGACTTCTAAACTTCACAGTGGGTGGTAATTATTATTCCCTGTTTGGATGATGTGTGAAGGTGAAGTATCAAATCCACTCATGCACTGAAGATTTTTATTAGTAACAGGAATTCAGATACAAACATGGAGTACCTCAGGCACTTTGAGAAGCTATGACTCAAATGAGGCTATAGACCCACTGCTCTCCAGCTAAATGTCCACACCTCTACTTCATACGGACACATTTCTAAACTGTCTTCACATCACTCTTTCAAGTGCCTGTCACAGTAAAAAAAGAGAGTCTAAAAAAGGGGGGTAATTCCAACATATCCACCCTGTGCACTCCAGCTTCCTCTCAGCTCTCTTCAGCATCATCAAATGCTTGTTTGTCCAGGATGTTGGCCAAAGTTTGAAACGGCTGTCCCCAGTTTCCGAGAGAGCTGAAGTCCCCTGTATCATCAATGACCCACGACTCCTCGATGGAGCTGAGTGAGCCGGCTAGTGAGCCATTGCCCTCATAGGCATAAGTAGCCAGAGAGTCGTAGGGCGGGGCTGCGTAACCCTGCTGACTCTCCTTCAGCCGCTGCTCAATGAACTCCCTGATCTTCTCTGCGTCGCCCTCAGTCACTCTGCCACAAGAAGTAAGGGTTGCAGATTTGTTCACGGCAGCGATGATGCTGGCTGTTTGGCAGTGTATATCAGGTGTCCTGACGTTGTCTGAACGAGAGCTGAGATGCAACAGGACGCCGTCTCCGTAGCCGTTTTTCTCCCTCTGGGGTGAGGTGCTGAGGGTGCTGCTGCGATGTGGGTGTGTGTTGCGCAGGGTGCCCATGTCAAAAGCACGAGTATCCGCCTCACCTCCGCCCTCGTCGTCATAGTGGATGACATTATCACGGATATCCTCTTTAGATGTCATCAGAGTCTCTTTCTCCTTGTGCCGCCTCTGGCCCATGTACAGAGCTGCTACGACTGCAAGACACAAAAAGATCAAATATTTATATGTGTGTGTTTCTCACACCAGGATCACGTGACTATACTCTACTAAAGGGATCCCACAGTCCATTTACCGTTTCACCATTTTATTAAAAGGATCCTCACATGGCATCTAACTCGAAGTTGGGGCAATTAGACTGGGACCATTATCAAACCAGTGTAATAATGCCAGAGTTTCTCTTTTCCAGAAGGTGGCGCTCTGAGTACTATGGGTAAAAACTTAGTATATAGATGTATTCAGGGATGGCTCTTGATTTCATATTTGAAATCTCGAGCAGATGGAATTTTGTACAGAGGGGTTACAAGAACTTATGTTTCATGGCAAGATGGCCCTAACCAGAGACATGTCCTTCAATGAAACCCCGAGTACATAAGAGTAAAGCATGCGATTTCCTATTGGCTCGAACTGGTACTGTGGCTACAGGAAACAATTTTCATGTAGATATAATCAGCTAGGGACACGAAGGTCAAACCTGCCTTTAAATTTTGGAGACTTTACAGATTGTACACGCTCTGAAAATGCTTAAGTCTTCATTGTGACCATGATATAACCACCATAGTTTGGGATAACCAGGTATAACTGTGTTTAAACACACAACTTGGGATCTGTAAGAGACTTATTTGAAGGTCTGTACTTGTGGTAACCCATTTTGATTTTATTATACCACCAGAGAGGCTAGATATTTAAGTGACTAAAGAGGTGCTACAGACACTTTTTTTTCTCTAAGCCATGATAGAAATAAAACAACCACGGGTACATTTTGAATACTCCTGATGATCTTGCAAATTTTGTTGAGTGAGACAGAAGGACACACCCACACACAAAGCCTAAATTGTTGCATAAGTAACAAAATACTACTAAATTTAGATAACATCCTCAGCTTTACCACTAGCTGCTTTTAAGATTCATGTCAGTAGTGCAAAATAATATAAATTTATCAATGTCAGCTTATTATTGTCATAACTTTAAGTAATTCAAAGTAATATACAAGTCCAGAAAAGGTATATGACTCGATTAGAAGTGATGGTCTCCTTTATACATCAAACTTTACTGTGACATAATATGATTAAAATCCTGCAACAGCATAAACTGCATGATAAATCATATTTAATTTGGCTCAGAATATTTTATTCATAGTTGTTTTTGTACTAAGGTGCACTTGAGCATGTTAGCCATAGTTGAAAGCAGCCACAGTAGGATCATATCTGTTGTCCCAGATCTAAATCTTTTAAATAAAAAAAATGTTTTTGACTTTGACGAAAATTGAAAAATGTGAGGGCTCAAAACTGACAGTCATAACACTTACAGGGCTGCACAAACCAAAAACTACCCAACGAATAAGGCTTGCATTGGACAGGTGTGTCTACAGGAGGTAAGACAGGTGTTCAAAATCCTGGATCTCTTTTTTCTTAAGACTTTAAACACTGTACAGAGACAGGTTCACAAGTTTAGAAATGAAAATAACTTGATTTAGTGTGTTTGTTTGTTTGTGTTTGTACAGAAACAGAAGAATTGATGCATCATAGGGTAAAGGCACACAGGATGACTACTTGCTCCCAGGTCAGACTGAACCTAATTTGCTTAGCTGGAATCTGAATGTGAGGATAAACACTGACTGAAACTAAACACAGAGGGCTCTATTTTTGTGCCTCGCCGGAGACATGCCGCAGGCGCGGCGTAAGTCAGGTCTGCCGTGCCGACAAGGCGTTCCCAAGCACAATTTGGTATTTTGGTGAGCGGCGCAGCCCGGCATGGAGTGGGTTTAACACAGCCGAGACCTGTTTTCACCAATCACATAAGCTCCTCTCCTTGCCTTTAAATCTGTCACCAACAAGGCATATTACTATTTTCGTGAAGTAGTCAGAGAGATCATAAGATGTCTGAAGACAGTAATGCCACACAATGGCGACAGAAGGCAGCTCCTCAACAAGTGTCGCTGTAAGCGTTGCATTGGGCGTCCTCCAAACTCATTCATATAAGCACAGATGGATTTGGTGTGTGTAATGTTGGACCCACTGGTAAGACAAACACCCTTTTCCATAAATAAAGACACTGACATAAAGTTGCACATATTCAAACCTCACGTGACAAAGGTGGGTTGAGCGCACAGATCACAACATAAACTACAAAAATGGCATTAAAAGCGGAACCATCTGTGCGTAATGACCCATCGCGCTCTGTGGCCTGGCTCTTTCTGTCATAGATGTTGGCATATGAAATAAATTTGGCTCACAAAACTGAATATTATAATATTCGTATGTAGGTGTAGAGTAAATAAACCCATCTGATCACTGAAACAAATCATCTGTTCAGCCGCTGCAGCAGGACAGAGAGAGGACACGGAGACATGTCCAGGTCAAGCTGCGCGAGAAATAAGTGGAAGAGGAAGAAAGAAAAGGAGGGAGACGAATTACATATCTTGTTAACTTCATCATGTGTGCTTATTTACTTGATATTTATTTTAATTTAATGCAGTTTCAGCTGTGTTGATTTGGTCAGGTTGTGTGTCCAAATGTGTGCCAAACACGCTCATAAGATCAGATATAGATCAGAATATATCTATATAGATCTAGATGTATGTGCTGACTCAGATTAATAGTTGCTGATGATTATTTATTGCACTGAAATGTGCCTGACACTGTGGAAACCTGCCGGTGAGGCATCGGTGACGTATGCTGATACGCCGCCGGTCTACCAAAATACCACTGGACAGCTGCGCTCCGCCTGCACTGAAAGCTGACCAGGTTTGAATCGGCAAGCTTTCAGCGCACTTTACACGCCACTGGCGAGCAAGAAAATGTCACTGCGCCCGCTGATTCTGTCGACACCTCCCCCTGCCACACCACCACGCTCAGCTTGGTGGATTGCCTCCGTGCAACTCAGTCCACGAAAATACCAAACTGGCTGTACGCCGGGCTCTGCCAGACGAAAGTACAACTGCGCGGGGTCCGCCACCCTCCGCCACCTCACCGGCGTACAAGAGCCCTGAGATGCACTGCACTGCACTCACGTGTCAACACACTCACACAATGCCGGTAATACACAACACTACAGGCTGGCTGAGAGGAGTCACTCTAAATGTGCTTGTTTTATTCAACTGCTGACTAAAGCCTGACTCCATCCCCTGTTTTAAACATATGAGGTCACCCTGTATGGTACAGTATATTATACATTATATTTTGATTGTTTGAGTGAGAACCCAGCAACAGGGGGCTTTGCAAATATCTAGTAAAATACTCTGGATGAGAATGCACGTGTGAAGATGACACCTTTTTTTTTTTTCTTTTTAATGACGTCAGTAAGTGGCAAAGCAGCGCTAGTGATGCTGTTGCCATTTCAGTATTATGGCCAAGTGACATGGACAGCTTGTTCTGAGGGATAATGTAAAATAATAATTATTTTGTGCTTTAGCAACAATAAAATGGGTACACAGTTTGTTTCCCTCCATGTGCACTGTCATCAGAAAAAAATATCTGTCCCAATGAATAAAATCTACCATAACCCCTGCTTTTTTTTTTCACAACTCGACAACTGCCTGTACCTATGCAGAAGCCTACGTATGAACCCTGACATGCAACCCCCCAAAAATGTAACTACTCTGTGAAACCATGCTAAGAGAAAGCCTTGTGACAAGTCAGCTGGGTAGTCTCATATTTGCTGCGTTTACAACATATAAATAAATAGCTTCAAATAGCCTCAAACACACAATTAAAAGCACATTGCAAAGTAAATAAGTGCATGTATGGAACATGTAAGGTTAAAAGGCCTTGAGTGATCAGAGGACTGGGCTGATGCATAAAGCTGGCAGAACCCTGCCTTAGGGTCTGACCAAATCTCATTTGAAGACAAACTCACACCTTGGGTGCTATTATGGGCTTAAGTTTATGTGCTGCTTACTTAGTGTGGGGATAAAACTGAGGAGTGCACTAGGTTGAAAATAACAATGTCATGCATAGGCTACTGTATGCCACAACACTTTGCAAAAAGGCCCCCTATTGCATGAATTTGGGACATACATTTACTAGCAGCATGCCTGCACCTTATTGTTCAGCTAATTGAGAAAGCATTCAAAGGGTCAGTAATCAACGACTACATCCCCTCCCTCGGTATAAGTTGTTCACTGTAGACCCTCACGAAGTTGAGTGGTCTGATTAGAAACTGCTCCTCCTCTCGCTCCTCTCCTTTATAAACCACGGATCAGAGCACAGCGACGCAAACAAAACAGCTTTCCCTCAGGCTTTGTGCTATAGAAACCAAACAAGGTCATAGTGTGATGGAAGGCTGGGTTAATGGGGGCTGCACAACCTACAGGGCTATATGATGTTTCAGCTTGTTCAGCTCTTTGGGAGAATTAACAGAAAACCTTCTTGTGTCTGCATCAGGGCTTTTCTGTGATCTGCCTGCTTGGGGAGGAGAGAAAAACTAACAGTGAAATACAACTGGTGTGTGTAGAAAAGAAAAACCATGTCCCAGAAATTCTAACAAAGATGTTTTAGCAGGTCAGTGGAAATCATATGAGAGGACATCAATAAAAGTCATGCTCCTGTTACGAGCACCCTTTGCCTTTTATTGTAAAAAGGTCCCAGAAATGTGAACAGAAGGGACAATATGAAAAGGAAACTAAAATCAAATTTACTGCTCAATACAAGAGCAGCACAATCCAACACTGCGGTGTGCTGTCTGCAAAGAAGAGGTATAATTGTGGATTTTATTCAACAGAGGAAAAAAGCAGGTGGCACCTTCCTAACTCAACTGCAGTAAGAAATAAAACCATAGTAGGCGCATACAGGTCATCAACTATGTACGTACTGAGGAGCTGCAGATACAATAAAAACCAACAGACTTTGATAACTGTGATTCATTAGAAAACAGTGATTTACTGAAAAGCTGTTTAATTCATGCTGGGACCTATTTTTGATTTTTCATTAAAGTAGGATGGGTCTCAAAAGTGTCACCATAAAAAAAATGCCTTAGATCCTTTTCTTTTCTTTTCTTTTATACAGGGATAAATACATGACTGTCATTGTGTTACAAAGTGAACTGATCAAGAAGATAAGGTGACAATCAGCAGACTGTGCAGAAGTGTTCAGCACATCTATTTCAATAACAACATTAAGAAACAGGCTGCTGATAGACTTGAACCCTGTTCCAACTCTAAGTTGACCTATGGACTTGGTCAGAACTCATAACCAAATACATAGGTACATAGGCCTTTTATAACATAATTATGAATACAGACACTTTGTACTCATGTGCTCCATAAATGTTAAAAAAATGAAAAAAAATAAAAAAAGGAACCTCTGCTGTTTTTTCACTGCACACTAAAAAATGATTCATGGGGTTGGTAAGTACAGCTCAAAATCTAGAGATTTCTTTTCTACATGAAAAAAAATGTAATGTGTATGCATTATAACGAGTCAATTTAATAAGTTGGTCTCAATGAAATAAAATAAAATGGTCTTAACTCAATAATACATGAATTTTCAACAGATATTTCTGCCTAAATTTGACATAGAGGTGTATTCAGTTAGCGCAACTTAAAAGTCAGTGTATGTTCAAAGCTGATTACAAGGCCGACCTGCTCAGACATGTTTGGCCCGAACACACTATGCGCATGCTTGTTGAAAGACAGACTGAGCAAAGCACAGAGTTGTAGAAACCCGTTTGCAAACTTACAGCTTGGTGAAGACAGTTCTGACTCATTTTATTCACATCAGCTAATAACTGCATTAATCAACAGTACGTTCAATTGCTTAATGCAGTATTTGATGATTTTTCTCGGTCAGCAGTGGTAATATGTAAGCAAGCGGTAATGGTAGTAATTCAGTCTAACGCAAGTGTTTGTTAAGTTTTGTTTTACGGTGGCAGGTTTTCATTGGCACTGGTTTTCCGTACTTTTCACTTTGTTTTTTTGAAATGTTTTTTTTTAAATATGTAACAGTGTTGAAGGTTTGAGCAGCAGTAGCTTCATGGCTAGCTCTCTACTCCGTCTCAGTGGCATGACTGTCAATATGTTCATTCTTTCTGAGACAGTTTTACAGGGCCATATCTGGACTTTGGCCTGGTAGCTGGAGAGGTGCCAGGTACCCTCTTGAGCACTGACTAAGTGCCCTTGGGCAAAGCACTGAACCACCCCCAATAGCTCACAACAGTGCTGCAATGAGGGTAGCAAGGCCAGCACTGTGACATGTCTCTGTCATTAGCACATATCCATGGGAATCCTGAATCTGCATGCAATTCAGTGTGTGTGTGTGTGTGTGTGTGTGTGTGTGTGTGTGTGTGTGTGTGTGTGTGTGTGTATGTTTATGCAGCATGTATAACAGTACAGTGTAAACTGTGAATTACCCTTTGAGGATTTATAAAGTGACTTAACTCTTACTTTAAGCTAAATGTTGACTGGAGTTAATAGGAGGGAGAGTTGAAAAAGAGTCAACATATTTATAAGACACTCAGAATCCTTCAGGATATCTTGAAACTTGTTGATTATGAGCAGAAGTATGAATCACATCTTACCTGTGAATAGCAGGTACGAGTTATGAATCACACTTTGGCTGTGAAGAACAGGTAAGAGTTTAGTCATGTTTCCTCCAGCTTCTCTGCAGACCTGGGAAAGGTTGTGCGCGCCTCACTTATTCCCTCCCAGATTATTGATACTCCGACAAGCTGTTGCCAAAAAAGCTGCAGCACTTTTAACTAAGACTCAGGGCTCTATTTTCATGTCCGCCAGTGAGGCGCACCGAGGTCCGCCAAGCAGGGCGTAGTGGTGTGGCAGAGGGAGGTGTCGACAGAATCAGCTGGTGCAGTGACATTTTCGTGCTCGACCGTGGCGTATAAAGTGCGCTGAAAGCTTGCCGATTCAAGCCTGGTCAGCTTTCAGCGTAGGCGGAGCGCAGCTGGTCTACTGGTATTTTGGTAGACCGGCGGCGTATCGGCATACGTCACTGATGCCTCACCGGCAGGTTTCCGCAGTGTCAGGCACATTTCAGTGCAATAAATAATCATCAACAACTAATAATCCAAGTCAGCACATACATTTAGATCTATATAGATATATTCTGATCTAAATCTGATCTGGTGAGCGCGTTTGGCACACGTTTGGACACACAAACGCTGCTCACCAAAATACCAAATTGTGCTTGGGAACGCCTTGTCGGTGCAGCGGACCTTACTTCCGCTGCGGCACGTCTCTGGCGAGGCACGAAAATAGAGCCCTCAGAAACAGTAAGAGACGTAAGTTATCCTCCTGATAACTTTGGGACTGGTTTAAATGCTCTGCTCCTTCTCTAGCAGAGTTGGACCTGAAAGATTGGAGATCTTAGCTTCTGAAAGATTGGAAGAACTGATTTCTAACTGTATCAAACCCTGAGAAAGAAACAGGTGAAATAATCGGCCCTCATGCTCAGAGCAGCTGTGCTTTATCTTCTTAACTCAGGAGTCACTCATCCTTTATAATACCTCTTAAATGACTTTTTTTCTCACTTTTTGTCCCCGTTTTAACAGCTTTGTTGTAACTGGCTTTTCAGCTGTATATACCTCTCTGTTGTGTCTTTGGTTAATGCTAGACTGTACTTACAAGATGCTGCAGCTTTCCATAAATCCCAGCCTTCTGGACATGGTGATCATGTCTGATTCGTCTAAATTAGTTGATGATTAAATTAGTTTCCAGGGAACGAATTTTGTCAGGACTCAGATGAAACAAATATTTAGGCTCTGGGGATTTCTCATAATCTGTTATATTTTACCCAAAAAGAGAATTAGCAAAAGTCAAATGCAAAGGTTATCCAAAAATCACTTCAGGGAGTCTTAAGCCAAACCTTCCCTGATGAATATATTGATTGAGTCCCACTTGAAGATAAAAAGCTAACAGGCAGATGATGAAATGAACTTTTTAAAAAAGTGAAAAATATATTTTGATGGCATGTGAAAAAATGTTCACCAGGCCTTTAACAAGAGCACATTTTTTCAAAACATTAATATCTTTAATTTAAATCAAGCCCTTACTCTTTGACTTGTTAGGGTCCAATCATACACCCAACGCAAAAGATTTGGTATATAGCACTACTGTTAATGTTACTAACCACTCAAGACAGTTAACATTTTTTACTCCCAGCAATTGTTTAAACCTAAGAAGTTTGGTTTGCATTAGTGCCCTGTGTTCTGAGATCAGGTGTGGTCAGGTGAACATATGGGCTGCTATCTGGAGATGCAAAAAGTGTTTGTGCTTTAGACGAACAAAAACCTTGTCTTACGTCCTAACTCAGATTTGCCAACATTGAGTTTTTTTTAGATTTTTTTCATCAGTGTATCAGCCCAAGAAACACAGTTCTTTTGCCAGGTGTGTGGATACATTGAGGTTTTTTTTAACATTCTGAGAAAATGTGGAATCTTCATTTGTTTCTTTGTTTGGCACACATCTAAAAGGTGATCCATAGAGGTCAACAAGTCTTATTATGAAAGGTTGCTTTGTCTTACAAGAAAACGAACATACAAGGTAATTCAGATAGTCCCTTATCCTTTTAGCTGAATTGTTTTGAAGGAAATAAGATTAGATTTAATGATTGCTTTGATTCATGTTATGCCAACAACACACCTTTGAGTAATCGAGGGACCTTTTTGTGTCCTGTACCTCACTTAGCACCCAGGCTGTGTGCCGCTTAACTAGCAACAAGTAGTTGGACTTGTCTAATTTAGTAACCATATTAGGACCATGTGATTCAGGTAATTTCAATACAGCCAAATAAAGGTGTACTTTCTCTCTCTCTCTCTCTCTCTCTCGACCCCCCCGCCTTTCTTTTTCTTTCTTTCTTTCTTTCTTTCTTTCTTTCTTTCTTTCTTTCTGTCTTTCTTTCTTTCAAACATTTAACCATTCAATGAAAACAACAGCATGTGCAAGAGGGACTATTGGACCGATGTTTCACAGCTGTTTTAAGTGCATAATGGAGCAGTCTGGTGAAATGATTTCAAAACCAATTGCACTTTTAGGTCCTCTATAATAAGTCTAGAGCTAAGGTGTGAGTTTAAAAAATACTGGAGTTTGTCTCCCAGGACTCAAATATTCTGAAGAAGACCAGGGACAGTTCAGACCTGTCCTTAAGCTCTGTCTCTCTGTACAGCTGATCACCATCCTGACATCTATAAGGAGCTGTGTCTTTCCCTCAGCCATGAAGACACACTCAGTGTTTTGTGTAAAGCTATTAGTCTGTCCTCTTATTTTCTCACAGTATGCTCCCTTTTAGAAGTCCTCTCCCTCCACAGAGGACAAGAAAAGGAGACTAAGAGAATAAAGAAGGGACATTGCCCTGAAGAGACTGTGATTCTCCTCTGACTTGTGATCAGTCACACACTCATGAACACACACCCGCTAATAGACACTGTGAGAGCTGTTCACACTACTTCTGTGTGTTCACTCTGTAGTGGACAGGTGGTTATGTAACCATAATCCTCTGTAAGAGAAATGAAATTAGATGATGGAGTGTAAGAGGAGTGAAAGAAGAGTCAGCCTCTGAGAGTACTTTACCACCCCCTGGTGATAATAAGAGATCCCTCACAGGCTGCTGCTGCCCTCTAGTGGTAAACACAGAGACACTACTTTAACCCTGAATATTCTGTATTAAGGGAACTATACACCTTATTGCATATATTTTGATTTTTATAATTCTCTTTTACTTCATTCACTTTAGATTTGTACTTTTCCACTGAACTCATTAAACTCACTGTCTGTTCACCTCAGATTCAGATTTCTACTTTTTCACTTAACTAATTCAACCTAGTGGATATTTTCATTTAATCAGAACACTTACTTTACCAGTGACCTACATAAATGTTATATCTGTGAACTAAAAATTCCTCCAGTTTTGTTCTTGGGCTTCAAACTAAAGAATTTTTGATACATCACTCTCGAAAGGGAGCAGTGAATAATACCCTGGAAATGAGGTCAAAGTTGTTGTTTGTATAATGGATGGTTCCGGATATGAATGGATTTTTCTGGTAATTCCCTGTCCATATATTAGTTGTGATGGCACGTCCATATGTTTCGATGACTGGTGCTGCTGACACCCGCAGTGCTTGTGCTTTCCCCTCGACATGTCTGAATACACTAGTTGGATGGGGTAAAACGTCTTTTACATCAAATTTAGCGACAACATATGAAGTGTTGCACTATGTCAAACACTGACCCGGCAATTAAGTCATACAGTCATGTGTCTGGAGAGTACACTTTTTTCAGTAGTTTCTTGTTTTTTGTGTAAGGAGAAGCAGCTTACTTTGACCAGGGAGGGCAGAGCAGGGGCCTGTTCTACGAAGCAGGTTCAACCTAGCGAGGTAGCCTTGGAGCTACCTCGCTCAACTTAGTGCGGTAGCCAGCGGTCTCGCTGAACGGTTTTACGACGCTGGTTATCAACCTCATAAGTGGATCCAGCTCTGCTATGAGCGCGTGCACACATATAAGGCGGAGCCCGCCGCATCTGACCATTCGCGAACATGGATCAGTCTGGAGCATCAGAGCAGGCAGGAGAGTGAAGGACCGCAGACTTTACAAACCAGGAACAGGAGACGATCATGAGAAAGTATGAAGAATTGAAAGCTATCACAAACCTCAAAAGCAACACCGTCGCCGCTGCAAAATCACGGAGGGAAGACTGGCAGAAAAGTAATCTTTGATGCCATTATCACCCTGAAATAGCACTGTTCAACATGCGCTTTTAACTAAGGTGACAGTCCCCGAATTGGATGATCTGTCCCCGGCTAACGCTGTCCCCGAAAATGTCCCTGATTTAAGCGTTTCATGAATGAGAATAAAAATGTTGCATGTGGGCAAGAACAACGGTTGTTACAGTGGGTAGGAAGCACAAGTAAGCAGTCCTGAACAACAGTATTTACAGGGTTATTATAAGGGGCGTGCGCTGCTAGTAAATAGTACCGAGATGTTGTCTGTGATCGCGCAGCCCATGCCCATTCATTCCCAAGATGAATCATTCATTTGTTCATTCCTATCGTGTTTACATGTTTTGTGTAATATGTCGGCCATATTAGCCTTTCATAAAGGTGGTCATCCGGAGAAAACTCTCCCTGAAAACTCGCGCGAGCCGGAGTGCTCCTCGGACAATGTGACCACCGAGGTGTACAGGATCCTCCAAGAACGGACAAGCCATTTTTCGAGAGAGCTCATTGGTCAGTGGGCGGGGTTTTTATACTCGGTGAGTTCAGTCTGGAACTTAACCTGCCCCGGAGCAGGTTAGCCGTTCAGCGTATATTGCTATGGAGACTCGCCTCGCTAAGAAGTGTACCCGCGTCGTAGAACAGGAAACCCCAAACTTATCCTCGAAGTTACCTCGCTAAGCAGTAATCCTGCTTCGTAGAACAGGCCTCTGGTGTGTCACCTCAACCCAGAGGTGCCGGATCTGTGTCTGTTGTAGACTAGTATTTTTTCACATTTGTCACAAATAAAAGGTCCAGTTTGTTTCCATCTTTGTCACAAACAATTGAGAAACTTCTCCAAATGTCAGACTTGCCTCATTTTCCTTTTCAGATATAAAGACCTTGTTTGAGCTTTTTTTCTACACCATTTGTTGACTCCATCATCCTGTCATTAGACTATATTCTGAACCTGCTGTGTTTTTTTTAAGCTGCCTGTTCCTGCACACAGCAAAGTTCAAACACCCGCTAAGTGCTACCTTTTTGGTCAGACTGTGTAGACTCTACAAATGTTTCATGCTGTACTCTGGTGTCTTTTTCAAACAGTTTTTCCTGCAGACAGGAGCTTACCCAGCAGCAGAGACACACACAGCAGAATGGCCATCAGAGCTCCAGTGCTGAGGCCCACAGGCAGGAAGATGGCTTCAGCTGAACATGTGAGCAGTGAGCCCCCTGCCCCACATGAACACACCCGAATAGTGAGGGTGGATGTGCTACTCTGAGCAGGGTAACCACTGTCTTCAACCACAATGGGGAGAGTGTAAACATCCAGCAGGTGGCGCTGGAAGGCTGAACGCCTGGTCACAATGCCAGCTGTGTTATCTGTGTACAAAGACAGAAGGAAGTTATGGTCTGAGATGTCTAAGACAGAACTAAATCTTAACGCATGTACACTGTGGGAATAAAAAGAGATTCACACACACGTACACATGCTCAAAAGCACACACACATATGCTCTGTTTCCCCTGGTTGGCTGCAGGCCTGTGTCTGACTCCATCAACTTAATACTGACTGTAAAGGTACAAATATTGGAGGACCATCTCCAACTTTTAAGGTTGATTTTGTTTGTATGTTCCTGAGAGTCAAATATGAAAGAATTTCATCATCTACAGAACATAATATCATTAAAGGATTCAGAGAATCTGGAGAAATCTCGGTACTATAGGGACGAGGACCAAAACCAAGACTAGATGGTCACTGCTGCTGCAAAACAGATGTTCTGTTTCATATCTTAAGGTTGTAGCTCGCCCGAACTTACACAAAAGCCAGAGGGCCGGTGAATTGCTGCTTGTGGCCTTATTTAAGATGTCAATGTTGACTTTTTTTTTTTTCCTGCAGCCCAACAGAGCATTGAGGGTAATTCAGAGACACACTGACCAATCATTTTTATGATTGTCAAGATTGGTGTTTTTGCATGTGATCTGGTTGTACTCAAATACAGGGATAATCAAAATGTGGTTGATGTCAAAAGTGATGAAAAGTGTTGAATACGCTTTAATAGCTGCAGTATCTACTAAACAAACATTCAAACATTTTTCATTTTTCTGGGATTTGTGTGTAGCCAGCTCCCTCTTTCCCTCTTCCCTTGTAACCTCACCCTTACTTACTTCCAAAATCACGAATAGTGAAGTTTCTGTTCCGGAGCTCCTTGGGGGACTTGAAGAAGAACCTCTGACCCACAGGAGGGAGGTCCTTGTCAACAGCACTGACCGTCTGAATCACCTGCTCAGATAGAAACATATCTGCTGATATATTCAGGCTGTGGCTACCTTTTTAACATTTAGTTCAATTCTTCACATAACAGCTTGTACAACAAAACTCTGGCTTACATTTGACTGTGCAGCTCCTTACTATTTTGCCACTGTACTCTTAGTTATAACAGAAGATCCAGGTGAATTTACCTGTCCAACCCGAGACTTTTCACAGACAAAGGTATCTGGAGGAACTGCCAGCTCAGGTGGATACTCATTCACGTCCAGGACGCTGACAGCCACAGACACTTTGGTAAACAGCAGAGGGTTGTCTGCAAGAGTCAGAGAAACGCTTTTTTAAAATAATGAACTCAGTGAAAGAGTACTGACCGTCTATCAGTGTGAGATCAAAATAAATAAATAAATAAATAATACAGAAGTCAGGGGATGGGGTGGGGGTGGGGGGTGACTGGAGGAAGTTGTTCTGCTTTCAAAATCTTTTAGACCCATTTTAGCAAAAAATCTAATAAAAAATAATAATCAATTAATTAATTAATTAATTAAAAAGATCAAATAATAATAGTAAAAAAAACTGTATAAAACATAGAAGAAGGTCAGAGAAAATAAACATGCAGCTGCTTTCAGATATGCAAAACATGGGCTTCTGAACTCTTAGACATTTTGTTACTTGTCCTGAATGAATGTCCTGTTACCCCAGTTTTGTCCACTAGATAGAGCCAGATAATAAACCAATGTCATACCAGTTTTCTCTGTGTGTAGACATACAACTTCATTAGACACTCTCTCCAGATAATCATTTTAATAAAGTTGAAGATTCTGAGTTTAGCTCGCTCATAGTGACTTCTCTCTGCCTGACTGTGACAGAGTGAGAGGGTTTGTCCGTGGTCTCTCTCTCTCAGATGAGGAGGGCTGGCAGGTCTGTGGCCCGGCTGACTTCTGCATCATTAAAGAAGCTCACAGAGGGAACCAGACTGTATACACAGTCTGGATGAAGTAAGCAGCTGCTGGCTCAAATGGACTTATTTTAGTTTCCAGGGCTGCAGCTTCTCTCTGAATGTACAGAGGGGACAGAGGGACAGATTTTGGTGTTGGTCTCAGGTGCATTTTAGGTAGTCTAGCCAGCTCACCTGTGAAAGATATTTGTTCAAGGCCTAAAATAGTTAAATCTCAGCCCCCCACTGGCAGTTATGAGTGTCAGTCTGTAAAACACTGTAAACAGGTAAGGTGTTTAAGTGTAATCTGATTCCCTTAACTAAAGGTGTGAATTATCTATATCTGTGTCTTTGACTGAAAAGTTATCTGTATCTGTGTTTAGTTCGGTAAGGCGCATTCAAAGAGTTTGTTTGTGTGTTTGCTTTCCATTGATATAAGATGAAAACAGATATAACTGAATGACAATTGAACATTTAATGAAATAAAGTCATGTTTATTCTGGAAATGCAGTTTTTAAAAAATTTTTTAAAAAAATCGAAATAGTTGTCTTTAGATTATCTTGATACCATTAATAAATATTCTATCAATAATATTTCTACCTCTTGAAACTTCAACATGTTCCTCTCTCTCATGGATTATTTTTACACTGGGGATGCTCCATCAAAAAGCTGATAAAACTTAAGGTTTATTTAAATCTTGTGCCCATTTCTTTCTCTACCCAAGTTTCCCTGAGTGAGAAATACAAAGTTTCAGCTAAACTACCATAGGTTTTTTAAGCGGAGGAAATTAACACTTACAGTTACAAACTTTTGTAAGAGTTTCTGATTATAAATTGGAGTTTACAGGTTTTACAGAAATTGACCTGTCTGACACACTTTTACTGCTCATCTATTGAGGCCTCTTACCTCAGGCAAAAAAACTGACAAACTCATACATCGGTGGTGTGCAGAGATAGAGAGTTGAGGTCCACAACATATGAATAACTTCAACAATGTAGACCAAGTGAAACAACTTTAGCCTAAGGCTTTTTTTTTAACTATGATCACATCCCACTAAAACCATAGCTACTTAGCTTTAGTGTGAGGGACAAGATAGATGTGTGGCTGTGGAACTTCTCAGTGGATAAATCCAGCAAAAGATGACCGAGGCTGCATGCTGTATCAATGAAGCATCAAAACATCAAAATCAACTGATTTTAGTTTCTGGATAAAAATGAACATACTGGAGTAAAAACTATATCTAAAGCAAGTTCATGTCATCATCTTTGGTTTCCAAACTCAGTCAAAATCAGGATCATCATAAACTCTCGATTTTCACCACCTTAAATATTCACTACTGTTGTTTCCTTCTCAGTGATTCCTAATATCCTGCACTTCTTCATTATCACCTTTTATAAAATACATATAAATAACTGGTTATTGGTTCTTATTGGTGATGAACTGTGTGCAAAAATCTGACAAACCTGCAGATAAGCCCTCATTTGTTCTGGTTTGAGAACATGGTAATCTAATTCTTCGGTGAAAGGGCAACTGGAATTGTTTGAAGTTCATTGAAGTTCTATCATGAACTTCAAACGTACCGAGGCACTATTGTCATTCTGTGGATTTTCTCTTATTCCTCTCTTTTGCATCGTGTCAGACCTAGGCACCCCAAAGTCAGGCTGAATCATGGATGTCATCTCACTGACATCATTCATTGGTTTTCTAAAGTGAAGTTCTGAAGCTCATCTATGGTATAATATCGGTTAGCTGACTCCACCCAGGTTTCTATCAAGTTGGAAGAGTTTGGTCCTGACCGGTTCTTTGAAATGGTGTTGAGATAGGCCTTCAGCCCCCTTGCTAACAGCCACAGTGTGACTGTTTGTCACTCAAGTAAGCCATTCTCCAAATTATGCAAAAGTCATTACCTCATTTTTTCAAAACTAATCGATAGTAATAAAACCTCATCCTTGTACAGTGTGTGCTGGTAGAGAAATGAGCCGTACATCCTTTTAGAAACATCTGCTTTAGAACATGCTTTTTTTCTGCTGAAAGATTAGCTTTTTTGAATGGATGCACAAGGTTTCCAGCCCCATTGGAGACAGACAGCTTCTAGTGGCTCTCTAGTGGATTTGGCAATCTTCAAGGAACTGCAGTTTTTAACATTCGTGCTTCTGCTTTATCTCCAAATATAAACGGTTGTTGCTTGAGTCCCCTTGTGGACAGGCTCTTTTTAGTAATGATCAAGTTGTTCATATAAAGGTGAGAAATGCTGACACACTGGATTTCTGCAGCTCAACAACATTACAGTTTGATTCAGGTTTTGATCAATCTAACACATCACAGACATATTGTTTTCCTTTATAAAACAGATGGAGGTGTCTGCATGACAGGTTGGATACTTACTGATTTTGGTAGCCACTGCAGTGATATTGTGCTGCACAGCTGTCTCTCTGTCCAAGTAGTCATTGGTTGAAATAGTTCCTTCAACAGTGTCGATATCAAAACAGCTGTCAGACTCTGAGAGCCACTCTAGTGAGTACCTGCAGAGAAAAAGAGCACTTCACTGAGTCTATGGGCTCTATTTTCGTGCCTCACCGGCGGCGTGGTGTAAGTCAGTCATCTGCCACGCCGTCAAGAAGTTCCCAAGCACACTTTGGTACTTTGGTGAGCAGCGCAGCCTAGCGTAAGTATCCCCCCTCCCTAACTCGGCTCCTCCCTGCAGGGTAAGTAGTAGAGAGGGAGGAGTGTGTTAAACCTAGGAGTAGGTTTAACACAGCCGAGACCTGTTTTCACCAATCACATAAGCTCCTCTTCTCACCTTTAATCTGGCAAAACGTATTACAATTTTTGCGCAGTAGTCAAAGAGATCAAGAGATGTCTGAAGACAGTATTGCCACACAAGGGTGACAGAAGGCAGCTCCTCAACAAGTGTTGCTGTAAACGCTGCGGAGGGCATCCTCTCATACAAGCACAGAGGGATTTGGTGTGTGTAAGGTTGGACCCACTGGTAAGACAAACACCCTTTTCCACAAATAAAGACACTCGCATAAAGTTGCATAAACCCTACATGACAAAGGTGGGTTGTGCGCACAGATCACAACATAAATTCCAATAATGGCATTAAAATAGGAACCACCTGTACGTAAAGGACTCATTACGCTCCATGGCCTGGCACTTTGTTTCATTTATGTTGGCATATAAAATGAACTTGGCTCACGCAACTGAATATTATAATAAACTGTATTGGGACAAAGGAAAAAGTGCATAGAAAGTGAATTTCGTTCAACTACGCTGGTGCTACTTGTTCAATGCATTTTTGCATAGACGATACCCTTCTGGACTTTGGGTTAAAATATTTACTCAGACTGTCTGTCCGACTTTTGTCACCAACCAGAAATGTACATATATGTGAGTTACCCAAAAAACTTATTATATGGTGCTGCTGTTTTTGCTTGTAGAAACTGCTATGTTGATTCTGGCAAGACAAAATCTTGCCAGAATCACTGTACGTTGTGTCATTTTTATGTATGAAACATAAGCTTTTAGCTAAATTTACTGTATATATCTCATTGTGCTGGGTGCAAATCACTTGAGTTGAGACGTTTTCTTCAAGAAATTTGCTACATTTCATAATCTGAATTCACTTATGCGTATACTAAGACACCAATAACTGTTTCAGATGTTAGGTAGATGTATTTATGACATTTGAGAAAGATTTTGTCTTGCCTCAATTAACATAGCAGTTTCTACAAGCAAAAACAGCAGCACCATATCATTGTTTTTTGGGTTACTCACATATATGTACATTTCTGGCTGGTGACAAAAGTCGGACAGATAGTCTGAGTAGATATTTTAACCCAAAGTCCAGAATGGAATGGTCTATGCAAAAATGCATTGAACAAGTAGCACCAGCTTAGTGGAACGAAATTCACTTTCTAGGCACTTTTTCCTTTATCCCAATACAGCCTATGACCTCGAGTGAAGTTTCTTTGTGGAGTTTCAGATGCCGTGGACGTGGATGCATCGGCGATGCTGCCTGAAGGGTTTGACTGACCCGTGGCTGCATCATGTTCTTGTTTCTTTTCGGCCAAACTCAAATGCCTTTCACAAATAAATCGCTGGTAGCATGTCAAATGAAACCCAGCATCATCAGGAACATTGTCAAAGTCGATATCAACACAATGTTTATAAGTTTCTGCAAGGTCCTTTGTCTCACCCTGTAGAGAAAGCCACTTTCTATACAAGTTCTGTAAGTTTCCCAAAGTTTCCTTGTAAAGTCGAGAACGTCTTCACTCTGGACAGATGATAGATGCATATAGCATTGTTTCGTTCCTTTTTTATGCACGTTTGAAGGCTGTTTTCTTTTTTTCCTTTTCTTTTCTTCCTCTTTGCATGTCTTGCTGCTAGATGCGCTTGTCGCCATGTTTGTGTTGTTCTGATACTATGGCAACAAGACTCGGCTCCTATTGGTCCACATGACAAAAATTGCTTCACACCTTTGCATATCTGATTGCGCGTGTGCAAGTATCACTACGCCGCAGAAAGGAAATAGTTCGACACCGCAACATTGATTACTAAAAATCGACTGGATGACATGAATAGATATTTTTTTTTAGTACTAACCATCAATAGAGCTATTTTATGAATCACAGTTTATGCTGCACCACTTAAGTGGAACGAACCAACACGATCAGATTCAGCCAATACAGCCTATAATATTCGTATGTGGGCTTAACTCCAGATTGAATATTCACAGAATTTTAAGATGTGAGAACATCGGATAAACGGGTAATTTTGAATGAAAGGTTCTTTCTTATTTTTTTGTTCAAATTTTCGAAGTAAAAAATTATCAAAGATAAAGATGCAGTTAGGAGTTCAATGAATGTCATTGCATCTGTCAATCCTAGCACATTCAGGACCTGTTACAGAAGTGCAGCTCAACTTTCTACATATAAACTCTTATTTGTATTTATTACACTTCTATTTAAAGTCACAAAAAGTCACTACAGAAAGAGAGTTGATCACATCTAACAAGTTTCTGGTGATATAATTTCTTTCCCCCTGACATACAGGGCGCTATTTTCGTCCCCACTGGCAGCGCGGCAGATGGTGGTGCACCCTGAGCAGTGTTTTTTCGTCTGGCGAAGCCCGGTGCACAGCCAGTTTGGTATTTTCGTAGACTGAGGCGTACTGAGGTGCACCAAGCTGGGCATGGTGGCACGGTAGGAGGAGGTGTCGACAGAATCAGTTGGCGCAATGACATTTTCGTGCTCGCCGATTCAAACCTGGTCAGCTTTCAGCGCAGGCAGAGCGCACCTGGTCTAGTGGTATTTTAGTAGACCGGCGGCGTAGTGCGCATACATCACCGATGCCTCACTGGCAGGTTTTTCACAGTGTCAGGCAAATTTCAGTGTAATAAATAATCAACAACAACCAATATTCAGTGCCAGTATCTGAATCAGCACATACATTTAGATCTATATCTATATATTCTGATCTATATCTAATATGATGAGCGCGTTTGGACACTCAACCTGACTGAATTAACACAACTGAAACCGCATTAAATTTAATATCCAGTAAACAGTCACGCATGATGAAGTTAACAATATATTGAATTAGTCTTCCCCCTTATCCTCCTTCTTCCTCACGCAGCTTGACCGGACATGTCTCCATGTCCTCTCCCAGTCCAGCTGCTGTGGCGGCAAGGCTGACCAGATGATTTATTTTAGGGATCAGATGAATTAGGAGTTGTTAGAACAATGACATGTCTAATTAAATATGCTCTTTAACATATCGCCACATTGAGATAAGCTGAGGCTAGGGCTGCACGATTAAGGGATTTTAAATCGCATTTGGATTATTTAATTATGACAATGTCAAAAAAGTTAAAGTTGTTGAATCGATTTTCCTCTCTATTATGTCTCATGCCTCCAGGCCACCGTAGGCTCCCCTTTTGTGTGGGAGTGCTTCACAGTTCACACACACACCAATGTAAACAAACATGGCATTTGCAAAAGAAGGCGATAATTTCATGGCTAAATAGGGCAAGAGCAAGTCAGTTGTGTGGAATTGGTATGACTTCGCAGTTTGGATGAAGAGCAAACCTGCAAATTATGTCTAAACGCTGTATCAACCCGTCCAGATTCAGGAATAAATGCAATTTTTTTGTTGTATCTGTGTTTCATCCACGCAGAAACATCTGCCTTTCTGCATCTCTCAAAACGATTAAGTGATACAGCGTAACTCTTTTATAGCACCCCTGCATGTCTGGCCAAAACAATCTTTATACACATGCTCTGTACTTGTCTTCAGTCTTTTGTGCATTTCCTGTACAGTGTTACAGCGCCACTTGCTGGCTTGGCATATGCACTACATCGTTTTCAGTGGTTTCTCTGCTCACTCTACATGACATGATAATTCAATCCTTGGATGAACTCTCTCCTGTAATAGTTTGACAGCCTTGTAACATTCTTCTGTCAGAGTGGTGAGCTCTTTGTTACCTGACAGCACTGCTGCTGGCGTCCAGGTCATGAGCTGTCACAGAGCCAATTATGGTTCCTGGAGGGGTGTCCTCATACACTTCAAGAGAGTAAGAGGGTTTGGTGAACACAGGGGGCTCATCTACATCCAACACGTTCACTTTGACCATGGCTGAGTCCTTGAAGGGTCCCAGATGAAGGAAACGTGGGTCCAGCTGTGCATTTGATGCCTCGACCTTAAAGGTGTATGACTTCTTGGTCTCATAGTCCAGAGCCTGCAGACACACATGATTAAAGGAATAAGAAACATGGCTGAAATAACAGGGCTGTACTGATATTGGTTCAAATGAATATTAATAAATGAATGAATTTCAGAAGTCAAACAACCACTCCCCACTTTGGCATCAGTGACATTTTCAGAAATCAAACAACCACTCCCCACTTTAGCATCAGAGACATTTTCCCTGTTACTTGTCCTGCTGTCTGTCTATCACCTGGTATTTCTCTAGAATGCATAACTGTTGTTAGTTATTTCTAAACCCTTATCTTAGATAGCAAACTACCCCCATACCCTGGGACTTCACACAAGAGGTGCATTGGCTGTGTGATGACTTTATCTTTGGTTTGTACAGATGCAATGGTTCAGACCGCTAGCACACCTGATTTTTTCTAAGTCACACTGATCTCTGCAACAAACACACAGAACAATGATAAACTGAGGTCTGCATTGGCTTTGCATAAGTTTTTAACTTGACAAATGTATGATGCAAAGCAACAGCCTGTTTTCTGTGCAGAGACCCCTTTATTTTCATGCAATGCTTTTATTTTGAAGTTGTGTCCAGGGCAGTTATTTGGTGAAAGACGTAAATGACATCACTCTTTAAGAGAACTTTTTTTTATCTGGCTAATAAGTTGTCAAGGATCAAGTCCGCTGCAGGTTAGCTATGTTAAATTTTAGATAACATTAGATCAAAGGACACATTTTTTTTTTTTAATCTCCCCAAAAAGTACATTGATGTGAGCAGTTTTTTTGGGGTACTTTTTCCAACTCTTCAACTTCATGGAAATGCTAATAATTAGGTATAGTGTACTGAACCAGGCCTCTTGGTGAAAATGCTGTATTATGGTATTCTACACCTGAAGACCACGTGATGACCAAAATCCCCCGCAGTCCTCAGACTACTTTGTCCGATGTGTGATATTGCAAGTTATGGTTTGAAGCTATTACCAAGTAATACAGTATTTACACCAATGCTGATACAGTACTTTTTATTATCAGGAATCTAATGTACTTCCATGCAGTGGAGGGCATGATTTATGAGGCAAATCTGTTATCGGTAACCTGAGTCGATATGTTTTAATAGATTTTATAAACTTAGCATTCATACAAGGTTAGGTCACACAATAGCCTGGATAAAGCAAAGATTGTGGCAGCGCCTCGTACAGTTTGTACCTCCATATAAAACAGCTTGACCTGCTTCAGCATCCACTCTGAGCTGATAAGACCTCAGCTGAACTCTCTCACACATGGCATTGGCTCCAAATGGTAAATGGACTGCATTTCCATACCCCTTTCCCCAGCACTACCAGCATGTTTACATTCACACATGTATATTAGAGGCTGGTGTCATGATACGTCCTGATAATTTAGTTTTCTCTTTGTTGTGTTAAGTGTATTTTCTGTGTATTTTTCCTAGTGTTTCTGTTCCTTATTGTTCCTGTGATCTTGTCTTGTGATTTTTCAGTTAGTGTTTAACTCTGTTCCCCTCAGGTTCTCAGTGTTTTATTCTTTAGATCAGTTTTCAGTGATTCCTGTTTTTTTTTGTTGTAGTCTATCCTTGTGTGTAAAGTCTAGTTTTACTTCCTCAGTTTTCCCTTCTCTAGTAATTGTCTGTATGTGTGTTTTAGTCTTTCACCTGCCTCTTGTTGCTTGTCTCCCTGTGTGTATGTAGCCCTTGTCTTCCCCTGTTTCTTTGTTGGTTCATTGTGTGTTTGTCTTTGAGTATGTCCTTGTTAATGACATATCCCAGTGAGTCTCTTTGCAATTTTTCCTTGTGCCTTTTTGTTGGATTTTGCTCCTTGTTTTTTTTCTTTGGATTTTTTTCCTGGACATTTTCTAAGGAACTTTTTGTTGGCTTTTTACATATAAAATAAATCTTTTGTTCTGCATTTGGGTCCCTTTCCTTTGTTTAACCCTGCATCATGACAGTTGGGGTGTAAATGTCCAGTTTAAAAAACAGTTAAAGTCATCATATCCACTTAAGCTTGTGGATAGCGTGATTGAACCCCAAATTTCTAGGGCTGTCCCAAATCTGAGCCACAGCAGCCTTTGATTTCCAATGAAAAATTTGAATGTCCAAATTGAATCCTTCCTTCTATCACCAGCTTCCAGCCAAATATCAAACTTACAGAAAGTTTTTTTTTTTCCAGAGGCTTTATCACCAGCTTATCCTCAACATAAAGAAAAAGTAAAAGGTTAGGCTTTGTAACTTAGTTGCTGCCTACTTTCCCTTACTTACCTCTATCGCAGCACCCTTTTATTCAAACATGGTCACCAGTTAAAAAAAACAAAACAAAAAAACATCAGGATATTAAAAAGCCCAACTCAAGTCTTCAAGACCAAAGTCACTCTGTGTAGTTTAACACTTTACAGTTTGGGTGTAGGCTCTGCTTCGAACATGGCACAGTCAGTGATTCAGGCTTTTTAAGAATTTCACTCCTGCGTTTCAAGCATGATGCTAGGATAACCTGTTTTTCTGTTGCATGGTAATGATGAATATATCTTGGTTTATTAATCCCTCCAGTGGGTACTTCAAAGGCAGCATGTTTTGTGATTGATGTCCAATCACTTTAAGGTATGCAGGACTAACTGATTGATTTGGACTTGGAGGAGGGTCAGTTTCCATTCTTCCTCACTCTTAGTATCTATTTTCAAATGCTCAGGTGAGAGATGCAAGAGACAGCCCCTTTGATATGGAAATACAGCCGCAGCTGTACCAAGACACATTCATATACATATCAAACTGAGTTTTTCTCATAATGCCACAGGCAATTCTCATTCCTTGACTTGACTGTTGTCTTCACTGCGTCTGTTTGCTTGTCCACACTTTGGGCCAAGGATTTCTTCACAGGGAAAACTGCTGGAAAGCTTTGAAAGCTTCATGAAAAAAAAAAAATCTTGGTGTTTCAACATGTTTTCAGATTGAAACATTACATGCAAACAAAGAAGCTATTACAGTGTAGCATCAGATGTTGTTTCTTAATGTTTGACATACCTAGTTACTGTGGTTACATGTTGTTCCAGTAAATCAGTGAAAGAAATATTTAAAAAAATGTTTGAGTGATGATGCAGTGAAACCAGGAACCAATCACTACACCACAATGCACTTTACTTATGGAGCATCACATCAACAATGCAAGGTATAAACTCTTGTATTATTGCTAAGCCTGGGGCTGATGTAGAAGTGCTAAAAACTGCAGTTCCTCAAGTGTCCACCAAATGCTGGCTTCAGAAGCTCTAGAACTGCACACAGTCACCCTTCTTTACAGCGAAAAATAAAAGCATTTAGAGTCTAGTTCAAGAACTGATTCTTGGTCTCATTTCTCTCTGCTCTCACTGTACAGGGTAAATTCTCTCATTAGTTTTGAATTTTTTTAAGATCAAATTTGTAAAATATGAGGCGTAGCTGACTAAGAGTTAGGTTGAGCCAAACTTCAGTGTGGTGTCTGCCACTGTAGGCTTTATGTATCCACTCTAGAAACCACAGAGTGACATCACTGAGACTATGTCCATGTTTATCCTGAGACTGATCTACTAAGAGACCACCTGACAAGTATGAAATTGTCTCCACTATATCACACACATTATGTGAGTGTGTGTGCGTGTGTGTGTGTGTGTGTGTGTATAATTGACATCAGGTGCAAAGACTGTGGAGGTGGTGGTATTCATTTTAGGGTTTTGCAAGTGAAACTGGTTTACATCGTCAAGAGTTTGGACAGTAAGCAGACTGACAGCAAGTACAAAATGAAATTAAAAACAACTTGATGTACAAACTACAAACAGTCAGCAGCTCTTGAAGATTGACATCTATTACACAGATGATGTGAGCTGCTTCCTCTGGCACAGAGGATATCGGGTTACTGCTATGCACACCAGACTGCTGGTCAGCCCTGCATCTCATCTAAGTGGAGGGAAATGTAATATTGGTGAACAGAGGAGGACAGACATTAATGTCATATATATTTTTTAAAGACTACAGTGGTTCTTTGTGGTCAGTTTCAAATGACTAAATATGAATTAAAAAATTAGTATAAATCAGACTGATTTGCATATGTTATCCTGTCTCCTCCTCGCCACAGTAGCAGCCATCTGTGTACAACACAGGGCACCTGGACATGTGAGCTGTCAAAGGTGTTGTATGCTGCAGGACCGAAAGATCTAAAATTGACAGATCTTTCATACCCAGAGCCATTAGGCTTTCTTCTTCTTCTTCTTCTTCTTCTTCTTCTTCTTCTTCTTCTTCTTCTTCTTCTTCTTCCATTTAGGTGCAGCCTGAATCACTGTGATCATTTTCACACTTGGTCAGTTGCAAAGGGAGTCTTACATTCAAAACTGCAAAGGTAGAAAATGTGCCATACTACATATTCACTAAGGCAAACAAACTAAATAGGCAAAGTATTATTGTGTACATTTGAAAGATGAAATCCTCTGTGCATGCTGTCAATGGATAAGGGTGCATATCAGTTTGCAGGTAGTATCAAGTTGATACACATTTGTATACATTTTAATCATTTACATTAAAAAAAACAGAACCTAAAGCTGTGTCCGAATTGCCAAGTAGTAGTCGAAGTAGTAGTCGAAGTAGTATGTGGCATGTCCGAATTGGCCACCGGAGTGAGTAGCATGCTACTTCAGATACTACTTCAGATATTAGACACGCCCACATTGTAGGTTGGTCGCGGTGCATCCTACGGGCATGCTACTGACCCAAAATGCACCGCGGGCTTCTTCTTCGTCCTCTTAAAAGTTGTAGAAGCGCATGTGATGCTAGCGCCACCAGCTGTTCTGCCTATTTAAATGTGTCGCGAACGCCGGCTGGCAACAGCAGTGCGCACCATGGTGGAGCAGCAGCAGCAGCAGGGGGCAGGACCGCAGCAGTACAGATGTAATTTTAATGTAACTTCATACACTGTCCTAAAAAAATGTGCGGTTGTATCCCTTTGTCATGTCATGGTGTCATATTTGCCCAAGTAATCATTTTATGAGCAAACATGTGGCGACATCATGGAGGTAAAGCTCACTTATTCCATCATTAAACTGCACAGCTGCAGTAATCAGGTAGATCTCATTGAACAAACGATCACCACGTGAGTGAATGAAGGCTAAAAGTAATGGAAAAGCTACTTTGTGAATTTCTAAAGCAGTGTAGGAATATAATACAGCAGCATCCATCACTTGCACAATTACCATTCAGTCTAAAACGGGCGCAGTACCTACTCTCTGCCTGCGGGGGTCGTCTTTCCCCACCGCTCGTCTAGTGTGTCCGAATTGGGCCAACGTGTTTAGTATGTAGGAGTAGGATCTAGCAGTAGTATGTAGCAGTAGCATGTAGTATGCGAGCGTTTAACAAAGTTGACGAAGCCATCAAGAGAGATAGAGTGGCAGTCTCTTATGAACATATTAGAAAATATCTTGATTTCAGCCATTAATCGTCTACACAGGGCTACACAGGTAAGCCGAAAATCATCAGGCACGTAGACTACTATGCATAAATAGGTGGGTTGTATATTTTTGTGTTTATGTTGGATGCCTCTGACTTGTCAAAAAAAAAAAAAAAAGTTAACAATGCCTTTTTTTCTATTCAACAGGAAATGACAGAGTATCCACACCTCCTCCGTTATCACCCTGGACACCCCCTTCATCTCTGAGCCCACCAGCACTGCTGATCCAGACCCCACCTCCATCACCCTGGTCGACCTGGTCGACCTGGTCAACCACTTCATCTCCGAGCCCAGAAGATCATGAGGCATGCGACCGGGGACCTTCCTTCATTAAGGAAGTTGTTGTCCATCTGGTTAACACCGTGTTGTATCAATACTGGTGGGAGATCTGCTATGGATGTCAGATTAACCACCCCAGTCAAAAACATCATGAGTGTGTGACAACAATTCTGGAATCATTCTATGAGATTCACTTTGATGTATTAATGAAAAAACTATGGAACAACCATTTTATTGAAGCCATACAGCATTATCTGACCATGTTTTGCATGAAGATTGATGACGGCATTTTCCATGATGCGGCAGAGGCTTTTCTCAATGAATTAAAAACAGTTGATAATGTTGTAGATAAGATAAATAAGATGTATGACGATGCAGCAGCCAATAATTACTTAAAAGTAGTCATCCATTTCAGGAAACTGAAATGATTGAGGTTGTTGTGTGCCAATGTACCCTTTAATTTTGTTATTGATTTGTTTATCACGATCTGCTATCTGGAGTTAAATAAATAAACCACATTGTAATCTATTTCGTCTACTAATTTATGCCTCAACCAGACTATGGAAAACACCTTGCATAAAATTTATTATGATCCTGGCCATCCAGCTGGTCTATGAGGTGTGCATAAACTGCGCAAAGCAGTTGGGGAACAAACAGGTGTTACACCTCCATTACCAACCGTCAAGAGGTTTTTACTAGGCCAGGATGTTTACACTCTGCATGCACACGCTGCAAGAAATTTCCCGAGAAATAGGGTTCTTGTTAGTGGAATCGACAAACAGTTTCAGCACTAGTTGATATGTAATGGGTGAATTCTCATCAGAAAATGACAACGTTCGGTCCATGCTGATGAGTATCGATGTATTCTCTAAATATGCATGGGTGAGGCTTCTAAGAAACAAATCAGGCCCCGCTGTCACAAGTGCATTTAAAGATATTCTAAGAGACGGACGCATTCCAACAAAAGTTCAAACGGATGCATGTACCGAGTTTTATAATAAGCATTTTAAAACTCTGCTGTATCAGTATGACATCATCCATTTTTCCACATTAAACGAGACCAAGGCCAGCGTAGTTGAACGTTTTAACAGAACTTTACACCCCCCCCGTCACGTCACCTGTTCAACCAAAAGCAGAGAAGTCAAACTCCTCCTGAATCAATAGACTGGATCTGTTTTACTGACACATTGACTCCTCAGGTGAGGAGAGGGAGGAGGGAACAGGCTGATTGTCAGTGAGGGAGCCAGAGAGGATTTACCTGATTGGCATTTTTCCACAGACACTAGAGAGGGAAGGTGTGGAGAGAGGAGAGGAGCTCACTGAGGATCTGATACAGCTTTAATGGACTGATTTTCACACAGCAGTCACACTAACAGATACCGTATCAGTATGTTCCTGCATCCCTCAGTGTTCACGTCACTTACCTTAGGGCTGACATCTAACACACCAGACAGATTTGTATAACCACAGGGTGTTTCTTTTACTTTTTACTCTGTTTCTGTTATCTGAAGCCATTTGAACCAAAATACTTAGCTTGGACATAAATAGCTACAACACCTATTTCAAAAAGGTAGAGTTGCAGTGTAAAATGTTTATAAAAAATTATAATGTAAGCCATTGTTTAATTAATAATCTTAAATCAATAAAACTCCACCTTTTAATGAAAATACTGAAAGGTAAACTTGTCAAATGTTGGAATTGCTCCATCAAAGTGTTGAGAGATTTGATATTGTCTAAAACTAAAGTACCCTGACAGAAAATGGGACACTGCAGCATTCATACACCTTATTACACCCAACTTCCTTAAAGCAACGAAGAAGAAGAGTTTTGTCTTTTGCTCATGAAAGAACTGGTTATTTAGATGGAAGAAAACACCAAAGCGCTGACCTATTCTAGTCTGTAGTGAATGGGACACAGGACAGCATTTTCTCCAATACACATGGCTAAGCAGGTTAAGTCTCATTGGAAGGTACTACAGAAACAGTTGTATGGGACTGAATATCAAAACCAGAAGAACTGGCGATTATTCAACAATTTTTAGATCTGACTAAATCTTGAAGATACTCAGTCACTTTCTAACACAATGCAGTGTGGTGCTGAGGTGCAGCAGATGCTGAAGTCTTGCTTCATGCTGAATCAATGTGTGCTCACAGCGTTTGCAATGCAATCAGCAGTGTTACGTTGGTATTTAATACTGCCAAGCCCATATTAAGCCACAGTGGTTTCATTTTCCTCAGATTTCTTAACTGCTGCAGTTTGTGTTGCAAAAAAATCAACATCACAGGGCCCTGCATGGATAAGATACACTAAAAATAAACCAGGATACAAGTTTTAACCATGTGTACAGGGTAGTGCTGCATGATTAATCAATTTGAAATTGTTATCGAATTATTTGATTATGACAATGTTAAGAAAATTAAAATCATCAAATCAATTTTCCTCTCTATCATATTTCGCACCTCCAGGTCACCATAGGCTCCCCCTACACACACCAGTGTAAACAAACATGGCATTTGCAAAAAAAGGTGATAATATTGTGGTTATATCGGGCAAGAGGAAGTGAGTCGTGTGGAATTGGTACGGCTTTGCGGTTTCGGACAAAGAGCAAACCACTGAAGGCGGTATCAACCCATCCACACGGAAACAAATTCAGGAGTAAATGAAAAAGTTTTTTTCCAGCGTTTCATTTTATGTTACACACAGCATAACTCTTTTTTGGCACCTGTGCATGTCCGGCCAAAACAACCTTTATACGCATGCTCTGTACTCTTCCTCTGTCTTTTGTGCATTTCCTGTGCAGTGTTACAGTGCCACTTACTGGCTTGGCATATAGACTACATTGTTTTCAGTGGTTTAGTTTTGAGAGGTGATAGAAAAACTTATTATAAAAGTGAAGTTTGGTGAAGTTGTCACTGAATAAAAAATTGAAATCGAAAATCAAGTTTTTAGAGAAAAAAAATCTGGATTTTATTTTTGGCCCAAATTGTGAAGCCCTAGTACAGGGCTATGAAAGTGAGCAGATAAACACAAAATACTATATGGTCAAAAAAAGGATAAGACTCATTACCAGGTCACTTAAGTCCATGTAAAACACACACTCATGGTGGAGAGCATCCTGATCCAACAGTCAACTAAAAATTTTCCCTTTGTCCCTGACAGGTTCAGATTGTTTCTCTAGGTCCAAGATTTCATTAAAAAAAGATCCCTCAGAGATAGATAGACCTTCTCCATCACATTTTTTTTTATCTATTTATTTTTTTCTTCTAAATACAGCTTTAAAACCACCAGTGGAAAAAAAAATGACGCTTTGTAGGGAAGAGGTGCTGGTTTCCTGCTGCTTACATCTGTTTGTTTATTACTGTATGACTTTTACAGATTTGTTCAGATCAACCACAACATTAAAAATCAAACAGATAAAACACAGTTACTGATACTGATTAATGAAAAAGTCTACAAAGATCCACAGAAGGAAAGTATTCAGTTTTTTGTCAACCATGGCTGGCTACATTTAAAAAAGAGGATTAAATAAAACTGTGATTGTTGTGCAGAAAAGTGTTTTTAGAAGGTCCTAAATGTTAACATGAAGTGCAAGTAATTCAGATCCAATGTTCCTTATGTTGTCAGCTTGTAAAAAAATAAAAAGACCCATCTGTAAGTTAAAAAATCAATATAAGCAGAATGGTGAAGATGTGGCAGATGTTGGCTGGTTTTATTCCTAACAGACAGGATCCCTGTGCTAAATAAACATATTTGACTACGTTTGTACATAACAGGCCACTCTAATCATATCAGCTGATAAGACTGCATTAAAGCCTGATTATCACTCCAAGGTCATGATATGTTAAATCATGCTGATGGATGCTGTTACTCCTGTAATCTGAAACACGAGTTAGTCAAAGACCTGGACCATAACTTGATCATACAGCATTCAGTTAACCTCCGTGCCTAGTACAGATTCCGAAATGTAACACTGCAAAACTGTATCTAATTAGACTAAGGGCTCTATTTTCATGCCTCGCCAGAGACGTGGCGCAGGCGTGGCGTAAGTCAGGTCCGCTGCACCGACAAGGCTTTTCCAAGCACAATTTGGTATTTTGGTGAGCGGCGCAGCCCGGCGTAAGTTTCCCCCCTCCCTAACTCAGCTCCTCCCAGCGGCGTAAGTCGTAGCGAGGGAGGAGAGAGGGTGTGGAGTGGGTTTAACACAGCCGAGGCCTGTATTGACCAATAACATCAGCTCCTCTCCTTGCCTTTAAATCTGCCACTGGCGAGGCGTATTACAATTTTCGTGAAGTAGTCAAAGAGATCAAGAGATGTCTGAAGACAGCAATGCCACACAATGGCGACAGAAGGCAGGCCCTCAACAAGTATCGCTGTAAACGCTGCAGAGGGCGTCCTTCACACTCTCTCATATGAGCACAGATGGATTTGGTGTGTGTAATGTTGGACCCACTGGTAAGACAAACACCCTTTTCCACAAATAAAGACACTCACTTAAAGTTGCGAAATAATCCAAGTTTTCCTTACCATTAGACTGATTCGAAAGTGTGTGCCTTTAATGATTTCATTCAGGCTATTCAGATAAGCCGAAAACAACAGCCCTCTGATTCAGAATATTTGCTGCCCCAAAAATATGATGTTTTCTACCTTAACAGCTTACTGTACAGTTTATATACCCAAGTACACCTCTGTATGTGCATTTTTTAAATACCTAAAAACAGATCGAAAGTTTACTGCTCCATTTGACATGTTGTCATGATCCAATACTGTATTTTTTTTTTTAATATGAGATAATTTTTTTCCACTTTAAGAAGCTAGTGAGTAGATGGGATGCAGTGGTGGGGGGTGCATTCTACGGCATGACACCTATCGAGCTGTGCGAGGAAGAAGGAGGATAAGCGGGGAGACGAATTAAATATCTTGTTAACTTCATCATGTGTGACTGTTTACTGGCTATTTAATTTAATGCGGTTTCAGCTGTATTAATTCGGTCAGGTGGAGTGTCCAAACGCGTGCCAAACGCGCTTATCAGATAAGATATAGATCTGAATATATCGATATAGATCTAAATGTATGTGCTGACTCAGAATATTGGTTGTTGATGATTATTTATTGCACTGTAAAGTGCCTGACACTGTGGAAACCTGCCGGTGAGCGGTGAGGCATCAGTGACGTTTGCGTAATACGCCCAGCTTGGCGGACCTTGGCGCGCCTCAGTCTACGAAAATACTAAACCAGCTGTGTGCCAGGCTCTGCCAGACAAAAATACCACTGCGTTGGGTCCGCCACTGTCCGCCGCATCACCGGCGGACATGAAAATAGAGCCCCTAGATGGCACCAGACTCTGTGAATGCCACATGTTTTTGTTGTTTTTTGTCTTTGTAAGAAGCAAATGAGGTGGGAGTATGGAAGCCCAATGGGGCAGTGAAGAAAACCTTGGAGAAAATCAAGATTTAGATTTTTTTTTTTAAATAGTCCTGAAACACAGAGAACATTAGCGCTAACACATTTATTTCATCTGTCACAATAACATCCTTGATGTGTAAAACAAATGAGTAAAAGTGATGAGCCTCCAGATCATCAAATGTCCAGGGTTTCTACAATAACATTTTCACCAGCCCACTGTTAATGTTGACAGACTGTAAAGGATTTTGTTGTGCTGCTACTTTATGATGAGAAACTGTAATGCCAAGGAGAGACAGAAACTGGAGTTTATAATGTCACCTCCAAATTCTGCTAAAGTCAGATCTTCATTAATTGGTGCCCTATGACACATAGAACCTGCCCTTTTTTTAATTCTTCTTGCCCCTGTCCCACAAACAACCTGAGTACACCACCCAAAAGATGAAGAATAGATTTGTCTTTTATTTTCTAGAGTTACAAAAAAAAAAAAAAACATACTTAAGTATACTACATTATGTTTCAGTGGTTTTTAGTCTGTATAATGGCCTGATCTCTTCAAGGGATATTGCAGTGTAAATTTATATTAGGGTCAAACACACCATAACACCGAGTTAGACACCCCCTCTACAGATGAATGTTGCTGACCGCTTGCTTCTCTACTTATACCAACTTTAGTAACAACCACATGATAGCAATACACAGCGTTCTTTGTCTCCACGCGCAAACCTCAACCAAAATGCCACTCTATAGCCACAAATAATGCTCAGAACAGCTTCTAACTTCATCAACAGTACATATAGGGTCCCACCCATAGTACTAGCCACATCTTTTTAGCTTTGCCTGATTTCATTAGCAAAGAGACCAAACACACCTCACCCACTTTCCTCCAGCAACCACTTGTTTGTGGGAAATGATCCACTGCACTTGGTGATCGACTCATCAGGGCTCCCCCACAAACAAGCGGCTTATGGAGGAGAGTTGGTGAGTTGTGTTTGGTCTCTATGCTCGTCAGTCATCGCTAAAGCTGGTATAACTAGAGAAGCAAGCAGTCTGCAACATTTATCTTTTGAGGGGATGTCTAACTCGGTGTTATGATGTGTTTGACCCCAACTTAATTTTACGCCAGAATATCCCTTTAATGTATGGTAATAAATGTCTACCAATGGTAAACTGTGAAGTCTCTTCACCTCTTGGAGAGCTATACTCTGTCTAAACAAATGGCTAATTACTGTAAGAAGATTTTTTTTTTTTTTTTATTAGTCCCAAAGCAGAAAAATGTCAAGCAGACAGTATCGGATTGGATCTCATTTTAAGGTCTGAGGAAAAAGGAGATAATGCAAACACCAGCACTTTGTGTCGATGTGCCTGTCGGTGATCTAAGAGAGGAGAGCAATGTGCTGATCTGGCTGTGATCCCAATCATTCTGCCTTTTGACCTTCCACCTACCCAGCTATATGACTGGATAATACCTCACACTTACTCACACACTCACCAACAGTCTGCACTCTGCTGTGTCAGCTAACAGCATCCATGATAATCAAGGTTGGTGCTGGGGGATAAATGGGGGAGAAAAGCTGGAGAGAAACTGATTGGATGGTCACAGAGATAATTAGCTTACTTTGACCTTAAAAGCATGTGTTTTATTTAGGGTTTTTCATTTATTTCCAGTACAGTATTCAATCTGTCTCAATGGAAAACTGCAAAAAAAATTCTCTTTCCAAGCAGAAACCTGATGACTTGCTACTTACGGACCAATATCTTGTTTACTCTCAGTTTTGTTCCTTATTAAAATACGAAAAGCAAAACCAATCTCCAGAAGGAGTCATATGAGGATCCAAAAACGTTATCTATGCTAAATGTTCTATCTAGAGGATCCTGCATCAGATCTAAGTCACTGGACCACACACACGTCATATCACTTTAGGCAGTTTGGCATCAGAGGATTACAAAGGCTTTAACATCAGACCGTCCTCTAAATCAGAGCTGATATGACGGCGAGTTTCTGAGCACTAAATCTTAACAGCCATCACATTTTGGAGACAAGATTAACCGTCAATCCACATCTCACTATGCTCACAGTCTCTGTGATTGTTTCTTACAAACAAAGATGTACAAAGGCAAAAAATAGGTTCAGTTAAAATGACGATGATTGGACCAAAAACAGCCTCTTAAAGGGATATTCTTGTGTAAATTTAAGTTAGGGTCAAACACACTGTAACACCGAGTTAGACACCCCCTCAACAGATGAATGTTGCCACCGGTTGTTTCTCTAATTACACCAATGTCAGCAATGACTGCACAAATAATGCTCAGAATAGCACCTAACTTCATCAACAGTACATATAGGGTCCCAGCCATAGTACAAGCCATCAAACATCTTTTTAGCTTTGCCTGGTTTCATTAGCAAAGAGACCAAACACAACTCACCAGCTTGTTTGTGGGGAAGCCCTGATGAGTTGATCACCATAAAGTAATAATCATCATGATAATCATTTAGCACTGTAGACGCACCATCTCGGTCTGATTGCATTTCCATGGAGTAATAATCATAAATGTTCTTCCTTTAGCTGAGAAACTCCTCTGCACTTGGTGATTAGAGCTACCCCACAAACAAGCGGCTGCTGGAGGAGAGTGGGTAAGTTGTGTTTGGTTACAATAGCCTTATGTGCCATGAGTGTAGAAATGTAGTGTTAATGGGTGAATATTCATGTTGTGTAAAAGGGCTTTAAAGTAAGAGAAGCGGTTTGTAATTAGGGCCAAATGCACAGAGGCACTGGCACCCATACAAAAGTAAAGGGGCCAGGACTGCTGAAAAATTATACGGTGAAGCCAGTGGGACAAGCCCATAGACTGTATATAGAATGTTTGTCGTCTGCCTCCTCTCTTAGTAAAGCCTCCATAAGAACAGCACCCTCTGGTGATGGGCTACAGTATAGGTCTTAAATCCCACCTCCTCCAGTAATCTTAATGGAGATGTGGACAAACAATGCATACAACGCTCCTGTGCAAGTGGTGGTTCCAGGAAGTGGGGAAAATCCTAGAAATACCAAGAGCAATTTGGCTTCAAATTCATATAATGACGGAAGGCCAAGTTGTCCATAGTATCTACAGTCTATGGACAAGCCATAAAAAAGAGCAACTATTGGAGTATTCAAATGTCTTCTGCTTCAATTTGTGTTGTATAACTAAATACTTGAAAAACAAATGTTTCTTTTAGGTATGCTCCTTGTATATACAGTGCTATAGTATTAATTATTTGCAATCTCTGAGAATGTCATCATAGTAAATATCACTAAAGCCCTTTCAAAGTTTCCTAGAGGGAATCTTTCTGGTTACAAACCTATTCCCCATACACCATTTGGGACCTTCCATATTTGGGAGAATAATGCCTAACAACTAATTTCCTTAAAGTTAAACCAATAAAGAGAAGCAAATTTACCTTTTTTAACACTACGACTCCCTCCTGAGTTTGGCCATCAGAGAGAATATCGAACATGTTGCCCTCATCTCCAGGAACAATGATGTAATCCACCTCTGCATTACTACCAGCATCCAGATCATGGGCTCGAATCCGACCCACTGCTGAGCCCACTGATGCCGACTCTGGTACCCGCAGGTGAAAAATACCTACAGAACAATAGAGGAAAGAAAGTGAGGTGAAGGTATGAAAATCCATAATAACAATCAAATAAGACCATATACACTGATTCAATATAACCCCAATTCCATAACACCTGTGTGAAATAGTTAAAAATAGATTAATTAAATAGATAATACATATTTGGAAATATATATATATTAGAGGAACAACCAAACAGGTAAAAAGTAGTGAAATGCTTCAGAAAAATAATTCAATTAATTAATTTCTTATGTTTGTCACACGACTGGGTATAAAAAGGACATTTAGAGAGGCTGAGTCTCTCAGAAGGAAAGATGGGAAGAGGCTCTGTGAGAGACTGCGTGAGCTAATAGTTCAACAGTTTCAGAATAATGTTCCTGAGAGTCAAATGTGAAAGAAGAATGGATTTCATCATCTGCAGAACATAATATCATTAAAGAGGGAGTATTATGCATTTTTTCAGACCTCTCTGATTGCTCCGTAACAGCCTCACATCATCTTCAGTTTTAAAAACGCCTCCTGTTTCTCACAGTGGTGTATTAAAAATGTCATTATTTCAGCCTCCATTTAAAAAGTTTTGTTTTAGCTGTTGTCTCTTAAAATTATATCTTTTCATTGATTTCAACCTAAACAACTAGCAAACCATCAGTTTCAGTTTATATTGTAATTCTAATTCAAATTGAACAATTCATACACTGTCCCAAGTCTTAAGTAACTGAGTCTGTAAAACACACAATAAATGTCTCATTGAACCATCCAAATAATGATTAAAAAAATGAGACTTTCTTACTCTTTGCAAAGCGTGGTGGGTTGTCATTGACATCACCTAAGGTGATGTTGATGGTAGTGGTTGAGGCCAGCCCCCCAAGCTGCCCACCCATGTCTTTGGCTTGAAGGAGGACCTGGTATTCCTCTTTCACCTCACGATCCATGTTGGCCAAAGCAGTTCTGATTACTCCTGAGAGAGGAGGGGTAAAAAAAAGTAGGAAAATTAGAAGAAAGAGCTCTTAACTCAAGGCGAGGAGAGCCAATGCTTCAGCACAGCAGGAGGGAGGACTGAAAAGTGTCCAAATGCTCCTAACAGGTGAAGGACTTAACATCAATTAGAGTGAGGGTTTGCAGCTTTGATGAAGTGGTCAGAGAGGAGCACAGTGGCAGGCTGAGGAGTTAATCAGACTCAAAATCATGAAAGGGCCTCAAGTCTCTTGGCTTTAGTTGCAGTTTCTCTCAGAAGTGGTCTGAGTCTAAACTTTCTCCTGTCATGTCCACCCATCTTTTTCATCTGTTTGGATTGAAAATTCACTTTTAATCAGAATCCTCACCCTGACCCAGAGAGAGGGCTCCAGATTGAAATCCCCGGGGTGGTACATTGCTTTTGTTGTGACCTTGACCTAACTCTTGAGCAGAGAATCACATCCTCTAAATTGGAGGTTTCACATCTCTTTCTTTCTGTTTCAGACTCAGCTACAGTTTATATACAGTGCCGATCTCATTCAATGTCTAACAGTGAAACATGCGAGATCTCATGAGATCTTGTCCAGTCTCACGAGAAATATCAGTATATTGAAAGCACTTCTCTTCTGCTTGAGGCAGCAGATCAGATCCGGTGGGCACTGTATACTTGTGTTTTTGATCTGCCTGCCAATCAAGAGTGGAGCTGAGCTGTTCCAGTGGAATCCCCGGTTAAAGGTGCATTTGAAATTTCAACAAGCATTGACAAGGGCAAGATGTAACAAGATTAAATGCAGCTGTACTGCTCAGGGGAGAGGTATTACTGAATATATGGGATGGTTTGTCAATGGTTAATCGAGGAATTAAGTAATCAGTCACTTAAAAGTACTTTGTTGAAATAGGTAGTGATAAACAACATGGGGTCTGATAATACATCCAGCCTCCACAGTGGTGTTTTACATTTAAAATCTGTTTTATTGTAAACCAACAAACTAAAGGTGTTGATCACAGAGGGGCTGTAGCAGTGCTCCAGGTCTGCACAAGCTCTCTTCTCTGGGGGTAAAGAGATGGTGGTCAGCTGAGATGTCTGTCAAAGGACTGAAAATCTTTACATCCCTTTCAGAGCAGGTTTAAGTATTTAGGAGCAGGACTGAGGAGAAACTCACTTCCTGAGCCACTTGCTGTGTCCTGACAGCTTAAATTTCTTTCTTTTTTAGTCTAGAAGATGGTAAGCTGTGAGTTCACACAGAAGTCATAAATCTTTACAGCTGCAGGAAGAACTCTCGACCTGATCTATTAAGACGCCAAATATCAATGTCAATGTCAATGTCAATGTCACATTTATTTATATAGCACCTTTATAGGACAGGCCAGACAAAGTGCTATACAGGAGAAAAAAAAAACATAAAATAATAAAAGCTACATCAGGCACTAAATTGTGTATACAAACTAAAGAATTTTAGATAGATAGATAGATAGATAGATAGATAGATAGATAGATAGATATACTAAACATCCTAAGATAAAAAAGTGAGATATGAAGAATGTGGGCTATTGAAATGAGTTATAAATATGAAATGCGAAATAAACAGATGGGATGATAAATAAACAGACAAATTAAGGTGCTCAGTAATGTGATATGGTAGGAGTTTTAAAAATGGACTATACAGCAGACAGATGTGAGTCCCTGTCTTACAGATGTGAGTTATTAAATTGTGGCAGGAAAGGTTTCCTGTATCTGTCCCTTCGACAGTCTGTTGGAGAAGGAGCTCCACTGTCTGTCCAGAGTGGGGTGGAGAGGGTGGTCAGGGTTATCCATGATGGATAACAGTTTGGTCAGTGTCCTCCTCTCCAGCACAGCCTCCACAGTGTCCTGTTTGCAGCCAATCAGGGAGCCAGCCTTCCTGATCAGTTTGTTGAGTCTGTTGGTGTCACTGGCTCCGATGCTGCTCCCCCAACAAACCACGGCAAAGAAAAGTACACTGGCCACCACAGACTAGGAGAACATCTCCAACATCTTGCTGCACACGTTGAAGGATCTCAATCTACTCAGGAACTAGAGTCTGCTCATCCCCTTCTTGTAGACAGCATCGGTGTTGGATTTCCAGTCCAGTCTGTTGTTGATATTGACGCCCAGGTACTTGTAGACCTCCACCTCCTCCACATCTTCTCCCAGGATGCACAGCGGCTGTTAAGCCGTCCTCTTCTTCCTGAAGTCCATGACCATCTCTCTGGTCTTGGTGACATTCAGCCTCAGGTGATTGCGTCCAGCCCACTCCACAAAGTTATCCACCACTGCTCTGTACTCCCCATCCCTTCCCTCACTTATACACCCAACAACAGCCGAGTCATCAGAAAATTTCTGCAGGTGGCACCACTCAGAGTTGTACTGAAAGTCAGTGGTGTACAAGGTGAAAAAGGAAAGGGGACAGCACAGTCTCCTGTGGAGCTCCTGCATTACTGACCACCACGCTAGACAGAACACTGCCCAGATGGACAAACTGTGGCCTGTCTGTCAGGTAGTCAGTGATCCAGGAGACAATGGAGGTGTCAGCGCCCATCATCCGCAGCTTCTCACCCAGCAGCAATGGCTGGATGGTGTTAAAAGCACTGGAGAAATCAAAGAAGGTGATTCTCACAGTGCTTCCACCACCATCCAGATGCAAATGAGCTTGTTGCAGCAGGTAGATGACAGCATCGTCAACTCCCAGATGGGGCTGGTAGGCAAACTGTAGAGGGTCTAAGAGCTCCTTCACCTGCGGCCTTAGGTGCGCCAAGACCAACCTCTCCAGCACCTTCATCAGATGGGATGAGAGGGCAGCTGGTCGGTAGTCATTGAGGTCAGATGGAGTCAACTTTTTTGGAACAGGATCGAGATAGGACGTCTTCCACAGCACTGGGACTCTCTCTTGATTCAGGCTGAGGTTGTAGAGGTGTTGGAGGACAGAAGACAGCTGGCTGCCGCAGGTCCTCAGGATCCTGGGGCTGATGCCATCAGGTCCTGCTGCCTTCCTCTGGTGGAGCCTCTCCTAACCTGGCCCATAGTCACGGTCATGTTGGGGTGCTGATGTCTCCAGTGGAGGGGGGGTTGAGGGGGAGGGGGAGGAAAGGTGCTGCACAGGATTGCTCACCACAGGGGGGAGAGGGGGGAGGGGTTGATGTGGTGAAGGAGTGTGGGGGACTGGATGTATAAGGGAGACAGACGGCTGTGAGCTGAACCTGTTAAAGAAAGTGTTCAGCTCGTTGGCTCTCTCCAGGGTGCCTGATGGTTGCCTTTGTCTCCCTTTACATCCTGTGATGTGCTTCATCCCAGTCCACACATCCCTCACATTGTTTTGCTGGAGTTTGGCCTCCAGCTTCCTCCTGTAGGTGTCTTTACACCCTCTCAGTTTCTCCCTGAGTTCATGCTGCACTCTCCTCAGCTCCTCTCTGTCACCAGACTTGAAAGCCCTCTTCTTCTTATTAAGGAGGGCTTTCAGGTCACTGGTGATCCATGGCTTATTGTTGGGGAAGCAGCATACAGTCCAGTTTGGGCTGGTGGAGTTTTCACAGAACCTGATATATTCTGTGATGCATTCTGTCATGTTGTTGATGTCCTCCCCGTGTGGCTCACAGAGTACATCCCAGTCTGTTGATACGAAGCAGTCCTGCAGTGCCTCAGCAGCCTCCTCAGTCCAGCTCCTCACCGTCATGGTTTGAATAGGCTGCCTCTTAACAAGGGGGACATACTTGGGTGTTAACAGGACCAGGTTGTGATCTGATCTGCCGGGGGGGGGGAGCTGTGGTGCTGTATGCATCACTGGTGTTTGCATACAGCAGATCCAGGGTTTTATTTTCTCCGGTGGGGCAGTCAACATACTGGTGAAATGTTGGCAGTACTTTGTCCAGTGAGACATGATTAAAGTCTCCAGCAATAACAGTGAAGGCATTGGGATGTTGGGTCTGTACCCTGGCACAGGGGAGGTGATGACATCACAGGCCATCGGTGCATCAGCTGATGGAGGGATGTAAACAGCGATCACAATGGCGGACGTGAATTCCCGGGGCAGGTAATACAGACTCATTCCGACAGCAAACAGTTCAATGTCTGGTTCACAGAGACGTTCCTTCATATGCACATGTCCGGGATTACACCACCTCTCACTCACATACAGTGCAATCCCTCCTCCCTTCTTCTTACCACTGCTAATAACGTCTCTGTCCGCCCGAACAACACTGAAGCCGGGTGCCGCCACGCTGTGGTCCGGGATGTGCGAGTTCAGCCATGTCTCTGTGAAACAAAAGACGGTACACTCACGGTATTCCCTCAAAGGGCTTTATTTTCGTGTCTCGCCGGAGACGTGCCGCAAGCGCGGCGTAAGTCAGGTCCGCCGCGCCGACAAGGCATTCCCAAGCACAATTTGGTATTTTGGTGAGCAGCGCAGCCCGGCGTAATTTTCCCCCCTCCCTAACTCAGCTCCTCCCAGCGGTGTAAGTCGTACCGAGGGAGGAGAAAGGGCGTAGAGTGGGTTTAACACAGCCGAGACCTGCTTTCACCAATCACATAAGCTCCTCTCCTTGCCTTTAAATCCGCCACAGGCGAGGCGTATTACTATTTTCATGAAGTAGTCAAAGAGATCAAGAGATGTCTGAACACAGTAATGCCACAAGATGGCGACAGAAGCCAGCTCCTCAACAAGTGTCACTGTAAGCACTGCATTGGGCATCCTCCACACTCTCTCATATGAGCACAGATGGATTTGGTGTGTGTAATGTTGGACGGACTGGTAAGACAAACACCCTTTTCCACAAATAAAGACACTCACATAAAGTTGCACATATTCAAACCTCACGTGACAAAGGTGGGTTGTGCGCACAGATCACAACATAAACTCCAAAAATGGAATTAAACTTGGAACCATCTGTGCGTAAATGACGCATCGCGCTCCGTGGCCTAGCTCTTTCTTTCATAGATGTTGGCATATAAAATAAATTTGCCTCACAAAACTGAATATAATAATATCCGTATGTCGGCTTAAAAGAGATAACGCATCTGGGCACTGAAACAAATCATCTGTTCAGCCGCTGCAGGACAGAGAGAGGACACGGAGACATGTCCAGGTCGAGCTGTGGGAGAAATAAGGGGAAGAGGAAGAAAGAAAAGGAGGGAGACGAATTACATATCTAGTTCACTTCATCATGTGTGTCTATTTACTAGATATTTAATTCAATTTAATGCGGTTTCAGCTGTGTTGATTCGGTCAGGTTGTGTGTCCAAACGCGTGCCAAACGCGCTCATCAGATCAGATATAGATCAGAATATATCTATATAGATCTAAATGTATGTGCTGACTCAGATTATTAGTTGTTATTGATTATTTATTGCACTGAAATGTGCCTGACACTGTGGAAACCTGCCGGTGAGGCATCAGTGACGTATGCCAATACGCCGCAGGTCTACCAAAATACTACTAGACCAGCTGCGTTCCGCCTGCGCTGAAAGCTGACCAGGTTTGAATCGGCGAGCTTTCAGCACACTTTACACGCCGGTGGCAAGCACGAAAATGTCACTGCGCCCGCTGATTCTGTCAACACCTCCCCCTGCCCCGCCACCACGCCCAGCTTGGCGGATCTCGGCTCGCCTCCGTGCGCATCAGTCCACGAAAATACCAAACTGGCCATACGCCGGGCTGCGCCAGACGAAAAAACAACTGCGCGGGGCTCGTCGCCCTCTGTCGCCTCACCGGCGCGCACGAAAATAGAGCCCTGAGTCTTAATCAGCGCAGCGAGCTCGTCCGTCTTATTCCCCAAAACCTCACGTTCCCCGTGATAATCGCTGGTACAGCTGGGCAAAATCTCCTCTTCTTTGCTCTCAGCTTGGCTCCTGCTCTGCACCCCTGGCGCCTCCTCTGCAGCTCCTCCGGGATGTCAGGCCTTGCTCCGGGCAGCAGCACAGGTTTACTCAGCGCAATCAGCTGATCGCACATGTAAACAAAGCGCTCACCATTGCGTTTGTGAACCTCCATTGCCATGGGTACTAAAGTGCCAAAAAGTGTCCAGAAAAATGGCCAGAAAAGTTAAAAAAAAAAAAAGTCGGTGTATCCAGTAGTTAGACACTAACTGGTGAAGACACATATGTGTCAGGACAGAAATTAAAGAGAAAAAGATACAAAAAGTATGAAACACACAGGAGCTGCTGTAACAGGCTGCCACCTCGCGTGGCGCCACACTCCCAAAGTTTTTTACATGCTATTAGTGAGCATGTAGCAGGTGATCTACTTTGGCTGCAATTCTCTCTCTGTTGTCAGTCATTGCACCTTTTCCTTCTTCTTGCCTCAATGACTGCAGCCATTTGTGCATAACGCTGTGCCAGTTTGCACCTGCTTTTAAAACGTACTAAATATGAATACAAAAACACCAACCGCAATTATTTTAAGGTTTGCGGGTGCTAAATGATTTAATTTGCAGCTCCTCCTCTGCATATATTCTGCATAGTCATGAAGGAAAACATGCTAAATGGATTGCATGTGGAATTTTGCTCATATTAGTAGATCAGCTTTGTACACGATGTTTTTATACATGCAAACCCTTAGTAGATCAAGCCCTCTGTTTGTTTGGTAGTCATAAAGGGACACACAGATTTTCTGTCCTCTCACCTGACTTAGGGTCCACAGAGAAGTAGGGCTGTCCATGTAGGATGCTGTAGACGATGCGTGCGCTGTTGCCATAGGTAGGGTCATCTGCATCAGTGGCAGTTACTTGTGTCACATAGGTTCCTGAAAATATAAACAAATACACGTATGTTATGTGTCAGTGTCCTAAAATTAATAAAATGCTGATGTGAAGATGTTCTTTTTTTTTTTAAAGTGACAACTGAGTTATAAACTTCTACTAAACAGAACACTACTGGAAATAACTCGTCTGGTCTTTGAACTTGAAAAAAAAAAGGAAAAAAAAATCCTTTTAAGTGTTAGACACTGTCTCATCTCACATCTCATTAAAAAAAAATAAAAAAAATCATTCATAGAAGCTATAAACATAGCACTGCAGCATCCACACTCAGCTCTGAATGAGAGCATTATGATTCTATCATATAGATTCAGTTCTCTACCATAGGTAATCCTCTATAGAGAATGTTTCTAAGGAGCAGAGACGTCCTGGGGTCAAGCTTGTGTTCTGTCAGAGCACTCATGGCCTCAGCTAAAGCATTAACAGCTTAAGGCCTAAAGACCTTGACTGTTAAATTACCTCTCAGTAATGGTATTTAGCGGACAGATGGGCCACTAAGTCTGGCTTAGTGAGCATTTTGTGTGTGTGCGTGTGTGTGTGTGTGTATGTGTGTGTGTCCAAGCTGACTGCAAAGTGAAACTTAAGATCTGAGCTGAATCAACAAGCTCTTAATGTACAATGTTGTGTCTATTTAATTCTATATGTGTTTGATAAATAGTGTAGGTGTTTAAAGAAAGCTGTCTTCAGGTATCCCCCACTAGTAAATGTAGAGATATGAAAGTATGACCCTGTTTGGAAGAGAACAGACACAGATAAAACATCTCAGTTACAATATCAGTGTGCTCTCTACAAGCTGTTGTCAGGGAGCCTTTCCTTTGGTGTCGCATGTTTTTAACCATATGTGTAGTTAAATGCACGCAGCACTTGATTATCATGCACTTTCTTCTCCGATAGTCGGCTGCAACAGCAGCACTCTTTAAGTCTCTGTCTAGTATTCATAATAAAGTTTTCACAGTTTTAAGACATTGGACAGAGTTACGCTGACTCATTGCTGCATAGATTCATAAACTAACCTCAACTACTCTTGAAGACAACGACAGCTGTCTGTGGCTCGATGATTTTTAGGACACTCTTTTGAATGGGGAGGTTATTTTCAGACTTTATATTGTCAGGAAATATTTTTACCTATCTCAGAATGGTGTCTCATTTTATTTGACTTACATTAAGATGCAGCACTTACAGATTTATGGATCTTTATGGATGTACTGTGTTTAAGTAACATTTTTGACTGGACTTGGATCAATGGTACTCTGCACATTTAGTTCATTATTAACAGAATCAGCAGATTGACAGTTATTTAAGTTCATGTCTAGGTTAACAGATTGATGGTTCAAAGAGTTGTATTTTTTAATAACTGTGCCCACCTCTGGTCATCATAGCCTTTTTTATAAACACTGTAAATATGTCATATAGCTTTGTTTTGTGTTGCAGGCATTGAATTCAAAATGAGTGTATATAAAAAAAAATCAGTGTGTACATTTAATATTTTGTCTTTGTAGTGTATTCAATTGATTAAAGGTGGAAAAGGATCTATACATTCTTGTACTCTGTTGATTGGCTGTTACCATCTCACTTACATGTGATGCTAAGATGCTTTGACACAAATCCAAGGTGTTTGATCTGCCAACAGAATTCCTGGTCTCTTTCTACCTTTGGTCCTGTCCTCTAGCATGAACCCAAAACACTTTGTGTGTGCCAGCTGGTGGTCTCTGACCCCCTACAGTAAAGCTGCTACTCAACTAATCACCTCCTAAGCTTATCTTAATACTTACAGGGATACCAGGAATGTCGGTTTATATCATTGAATTCTGTTTTTTATTCATGTTTGCAAAACATCCCACTTTCACTTGCAGTTTGTATATGTCCAACCTCACTAATAGGTCACGTGATTACAGTCCAGTCATCTACCACCATAAGCCTTCAAAGAGTCTTGTTGTAAGTTGCACATGCACATTTATTCCATGCCGTTTCAAGAGTCACTTATCATACAGTTAGCAAAGACTTATGTCCTTCAAATTAAGATATGAAGAGTGGGGCAAGGCACATTGTGACAAATTGCCATCTGTTATGAGGGAGTGAGTCATTGAACCAGAGGGCAAAGTTCGAAGTCAGAGTCACGCAGAAACCTCCTGACAAAATACAAAAGAAAAATCAGAGGAGATCTTTGCAGTAGAAGCTGAGAATTAAAGAGCTTGGACATGGACATGACAAGGTCAAAAGGAACACTGGGAGAAATTAAACACTATTGTCATCAAGATACTGGTTTACTAAGCAGGGTTGGGTTTATTTTACCTTCCCTGTCTCCAACTTCAGACATCAAGATCAGACTAAGCATGAAACCAAAAGTAAGACAAATCTATAGCACTTCACAGCAAAAGCCTTTAAACATAAACACACAATGGACCACATCAAAAAGAGATAAGACTAGAGATAAGGCTAAACTTCTATTTCTGATCAACAGTCACCTAGCAAATTTAAGGCATTTGTTAAAGCTGTAACCTTTGAGTTTGGGGGGAGTTTTTCTGTCAGATCTGGAGGCACAACTGGTCCAATTTCATTTAAACTTCTTTATTTAGTTTCTGCAAAAATCCACCTCATACCACCCTTTTATGTTTTTGCTCTGTGGATTCTTTTAGGATGACAAATCTCAATGTCTGTATAGTGCTGTTAGTATTTATTTATGCAGTGAAAAGCACCATTTAACAATGCCTTGACGTTTTATATTATGTAACTCCTATTTCTAGAATTTGTCCACAGACTGTTTATTTGAAGAAAACCATTTTCCAACCTGTGGGAGACATCTCAGGGACACTGGCGCTGTAGGGACTGTCAGGAAACCGTGGCTCATTGTCGTTGATGTCCTGCACCTTGATGATGAACTCAGACTCTGGCTCCAGAGGGACGCCTGAGTGGATGTCTACAGCCTGGGCCCTGAGTGTGTAGTAGGACCTTTCCTCCCTGTAAGAAGTATCACATGAATGCTGTCATGAAAAAGTATTTGGCTTGATCAGTATAGCATAGAGTCAGAGGGAGATGCTCTGGAAGAGTGTTAAAAAAGGATGGAGTCGATAATTGACTCAGTCTGTAGCCTGTAGGGACCATGAGCTTATTGCACAATTTTGCCATTTCTCTGTAACTTAGATCACAAGACATGCTGCTTCTAATCCCACATCTGTCCTTTACTTTGGACATCTACCTTCACCTGTTTTTCATGTGCCATTGATTAGTTTATCTTCTTGGCACACTTTGAATCTGAATCATCTGTCCATAGAAGGATCTGAATGATAGCGAGAACTCTTTTCCTTCTACAAGATGGTTTCTGGTTCTAGTTTAAGGGCCAGTGGGGACGTTTCTGTTCTGCTTTGAGGCCGCGGTTTGTGTGTACGGTACAGGGACAGCACTCTTGCGTCCTCCCACAGTTAAAAGACATGCTTGTAAGGTAAACTGATTACTCTACATTGCATATTGGTGTGAGTATGTCTGAGTGGGTGTCTGTCTACATGTCAGCTCAATGATGGACTGGTGACCTTTTGGGATGTACCCTGCCTCTCAGATGTTTCCATCTGTCTCAAGATAGATGGATTGCACAGGGATCACATCAATGCTTTCTTTCTGGTTACCAGGCTGTGTTGAATACTTAATTCTGGTCGGTTAGTTCTCTCTGAATTGGGACAACCACATCACAACACATGGTATATTTAATCAATCTGTTAATCAATCTCTTTTACCAAAGAGCCATCATGTGCAATGAAAAATCCTGACTTCCAAAACAGGTGGAGTTCTAGAGGTTGTTGCAAGACAACAATATTCATGAAAACATACTAGTCCTAAGTGACAAGCCCACGTATTAATGTAGAAAGTGATTTCATTGTTATTTCTCTGAATCACCGTAGAGATTCTTAAGACTGATCGTATCTGATAGACTGATAGTATTATCAGTTCTGACCTGTCCAGTCCCACCAGAGCATGTATATCTCCTGTTATTTGATCGATGGTAAAAATGGACCCAGCTCCCTCTCCAGACAGAGTGTACTTGACTGCATTGTCCCCATGGTCCAGGTCTGTGTGGAGCTGCAGGAGAAAGAAAAGTTTAAGAAAAGGCAGAAGAAGTGCATATGTTTTTATTTTATCTAGCACTGACTGCAGATTACAGCAGAAAAGGATTCTGATAAAAAATAAGTACAAACATGTATGTTTTTGTTCTCATGTTTTTTAAGTATGTAAATCAAACATGGTGGTTTGATGCTATATTTGGAGGGAATCAAAAACATGGCTAAATATTTCTGAATACTTGGAAGACATTTTTAAAAGATATAAAGAAAAGAAGAAAAAGATTTAATGGACAGATTATTTCACCAGAGATAATAGAAACAAACTTTTAGAACACTTCTCTTCTAAAAGATACTCTCATTGATGTTTAGTCAACTCCAGCAGCCCTTAGGAGTGCAATAGTTACAACTTGCGATTGATTTATTTCAGGACCCTAGCAGGGAGCTATCCAAACTGTATATACCACTGACTCATCAAAGGACAGATTTTGAAGGACTCACTTATCGACTGTTTTTTTTAAGTCATCAACAGTCCCTCAAACACACTGTGATTTTTTTGTTTGTTTTGTTTTCATGTTTTTTGACAGATTAAAGGAAGACTCTGAGTTTGCCAGTAGGATTTCCTTAGGTAAGAAGTCCCACAGCTGTGGCATCCAAAGTGCAAATGCTTTACTATTTCTTGTAACCAGAGTTGGAACCCATGAGAACCAAAGTCTACCTTCAAGTCTACCAAATCTCATATTTAATAAATGTTGACATCTGTTATTGATGTGATAAGATCAAGTCAGAGAAAATCAATCGTTTCATAGAAATGTGCGTAGTTTAAGTATCACTTCACAGCATAAAAGATTCATTAGCCCTACTCAACCAGCACACTAACAGTGTTAAATCAATTTAACAACAAAGCTCTGATGTATGCTCTACAGTTAATCTGTGCTAATAGCATACTCCATTTGCATGTTTTCTTTTCAGAATGATATCATAAACCTTCTGAAGAATTGTTTATTTAAACGTGACCTCTATTGACCATGACCTCTCTTTAACAGAGTAATTTTTATACATTACTAATCATTTACAGTAAATCACAGCCTCCTCACCCTTGCTTGTAAAATGTCAATCGATTTTCATTTATATATTAACCAGTTCTCAAGATGCTGGTCTGGACCATACACCATTTACAAAAATTGAATGCAAAGATGGGATAAGATTGAGCCTCATCTTGTAAGATCAGACACATCCCAATCCCATCTTCAACTACCTTAGTGAAACACTTTGCTGCATTTATCGAGTTACAGCAGAGAGGAAAAACTTCCTCTAACAGGTAGAAACCTTAAGCAGAGCCAGACTCATATTAGACAGTCATCTGCTGAGACTGCATTGAGTCTAAAGTGGAGATAGAGGGAGATGCAGAAAGAGAGAGATGGACAGAGGAGAGACTGATAGTGAAAGATGCAGGCGGCATAGTTTCTGCATCCCCTGAATGAATAAGTTGGCACTCATGATAACTTGATCACACATCATATGCAATCAATATGCATATGATTCTAAATTGAAATAACTGAGCTTCTGTCCTCTGTCCTTAGCATGTCTCTCTTATGTACTATTAAACTGCAAACTTGAGGGTAAACATCAATTTGAGCTACAAGAAACATATATGACACTATGAAAGAGCCAACATTTAAGTATGCACACCACTTATGACACTTATGACAACACTTTGTAAAAAACTTCAAATTCCATCGGCACTTCCTCTGTCAAAAGTTTGAACATGTGTTTACCCTCTGAAGAACCTTTTCCAGCGGTGGAAACTTGATGAAAACACATGGCTTACTTTTCAAAGTAAGATGGGGCTCCCCAACAGTGAATTCATTACATTTCTCCAGAGGGAGTCCATTGATGTGCAAGTTAACCACTAACTGACCAGGACCCAGTGGGCTCTGAACACTGATGAGGAATAAGGAGCTGAATATTGATGCTATTTAATGAAGACCTAGTGGAACTGAGATGCTGGATTGAAAGTAAATAAGGAAAAGAGAGAGACAAACAGCCAGCCCATCAGAAGTCCTGTTTATGTATGCTTCTACTGAACTAGTCTCTTCCATCATGTTTCATTTCCATCTTAACTATCATTTAGATCTTCTTTGTTATTCATTGTTTCAGTGTTTTCCAGGGTTAATCAGTTCAGTTAAAGGATAATCCCTTTCGATTTGGTCAGTGCACAGCAACAAAGCAGATTTACTCAAATTCAAGGCATTGGGTCTTTAAACCAACGTCATCTCACCAAAATCTTTTTTTAAAGCTGAAGTAACAAAGAAAAAGTCATCCACCAGGACGGTGCCTTGGAGTCCAGGTTTTCCCTCAGCGTAGCACCACAGACCTGATCCAAAGACAAGGTAGCCTTTAACACTCGGTCTACCTAAATTTTGCAACTACTAGAATGACCATAGCAGTCATTTTGACAGCTCAGTCTTTATTTGCACACAATTTGGATAATCAATAATAAAAACTCATAATAAATTGGTGGAATACATAAAAACACATCAGTACACAAAATGAAAATTATTTGAATGAGACTTTTAAGAACCTTCCTCAAAATACCAAGACACATCATTCCCTCAACTTGCTCATCCATCGGATTCCTCCTTATCAAGACTGAAGCAAGGCTAAAGCCTCCATACTTGTCATTTTTCTTCCCGTTGTCAATTTTGAGTCTCTTGAGTTTAAAGTAAGTCATAGCAAGATTTTAGCTTCACAGAGCTTAAAGTACAAAAAAAACAATAGAGCAGGAGAAAGAGCGGGAAAATGTAACAAATAGTGAAATATAACACCCTTAGTAAAAAGCATGTTGTCAATTTGACTGCTCTGGTCATTTGAGGTAGTAATACTCAGATCTCTTTTGTGTTTTGAAATGTTTATGATAAAACAATGTTAAAATAAAATATACCCACATTTAGGGAAACGTCAGGGTACATTACTGGTGTATAGGTTTAATTTAACAAAGTTATGACATAGTAAATTTTCAAAGCAGTCAAAATGACTGCCTTGGTAGTTTGAGTGTTTTAACCTGCCACAAATCAAACAACCCAGCAAACCAAAAGTCAGTCCCAGACATGACTCCTACTGAGCCCTAATGTTTCTGGCTCTGTAAATTTTGTCCCTCAGAGATTTTGGTCGGTATAATTGTTTGCTAAATGTGTAGACAAACTTTCCACTACTTCCAGTGTTTGACTCTCTGCTGCAAATTAAATCTTCATCTTTCAAATCATCACAGCGAGCAGCTCTGACACTCATCTGATCATCCTTACACTGGCTTACATCACTTCATCTCAATCTTTAATAAGATTCTAGAATTCCCATCACATTCAGTTATAATGGGAGCTGTTGGTGCCTATTTAGAAACCTGCAGAAAGTGATTTCTGAAATGACTTCTGATATTTGACCAAGTGTTTGGTTCTGTTGAAACTAAGTACTGGACTGCCCTGATACCCTGTGATTACCCCAGTAATAACTGCATCCTGGTTTGATACTATACAGTGAGGGGAGCAGGATGATGGAGCATTCAAACATGCACAGAAAGAGAAATATTCCTCCTGAGACAGACTCTGATACTGTTGCACAGCGAAGAGTGAGGGATGCTTGTGTCTGATGAATGCTGATGACCTGAGTGGTGATTCTCTTTAAGCCGCCATGCTCTGCGGTGACAGACGGAGGTGCGACTGAAAAGGTCAGGCAGACATATGTAATGAGGGCAGAGAGGTGATGCGTCCTTACCCCAAAGGGCCATATGAGGTGCACACGCTTCCAGCTGGGAGACAAACAATTACGAGGCTCCAACAAATGACAGCAGCTTAATGAGAAAATACTAAACTGGAGTCATGGGCTGTTTGAAGCTGTGGTGGATATTTTCATTCACAGGACTTCTCTGCTTTCTGTTGTATCTTTCTAGATACCTCAAATGTTTGAAAATAATCCTTACCACAACAGAGTCTTTATGCTGTTCAGCTTAGGCCAGTGGACAATCAAGCTGTCTAATATAATGGTCAGGAGTTTTAGCGCTGCAGGCAGGTGCTAACTAAGTCCTGCTGAAAAAGGAAACCTCCATCTCTGTAAAGCTTGTCTGCAGATAGAAGCATTAGGTGTTCTAAAATCTTCTGGTGAGCTGCAGACAACAGTCAAGTCAGTAGTTTGTTGTTTGTACTGCGCCACATTAAGAGATACTGTACATGTTACATTTTCTACATTTCCATACTCTTTATGAATAGTAATTTACCCAAAGTAAATATATAAAATGAAGTAATATATAAAATATGGTCAATGGATTATTTTTATATAGCGCTTTCTCTAGTTTTTTGATCACTCAAAGTGCTTTACATCTAATCTCATATTCACCCATTCACACCACATTCACAAACATAGCAGAGGCTGCTTCCTGTTGCTTCATTGGTTCCTTTAAACCATTTTCTCTTTCAGCTGATTGAGAACATTGGACTTTTTACAATATGCTCATTATTTAAGATGCATTTGTACGTAACCTCAATTCAAAGGTGTCTACGCCAGGTACAGCGGAGAAGGAACAAAAGATTTAAACAACTGAGAAACTTCTGCAACAAAAAAAAAAAAAGAAAAAAAAAAGATTTAAATTAAAAAATACAACATTGACCAAGCACACAAAATGGCTCTGGGAGAGCTAGTCTCCAGAGGAAGATCCTAAATTAGGTCACTGTCTGACACCTAATCCTGACAGGCTGCACTAGAGACAAATAGTGAAGATGGCAAATAAGCATAAAGAATAGATCCATGGAGAGATGGTTTGACACTGCTTGAGATATCTTCAGTTCAAACAAGACAAGCTTTGCCGTTATCAAACAAGAGTTAGTTGTTTTTTTTGTTTTTTGTTTTTTTATCACAGTTCTGGGTTTTTTGACTCACAGCGGTCAGGATAGACATCCTAACTAAGCACAAACTGAAACTAGCCAATAGTTTATCTTTTACTCCACGAAATCTTTGTGTTTTTCAGTTAAGAATCATTGTTTCCAACATTTTTCTGTAAAGGTATGTAACCATAAGTCCATGTAGATTCTCATTCATCCAGGTCATGGTTATCTTGAAGACTTAAAAACAGGCAACTGGACTGTGTACTCTGGACTCTACACAGTCCAGTTGCCTGTTTTTAAGTCTATGTAACCATAAAGTCAGAGTTTAATGTTATTTTGTGTTCTTTCTAGTGACCAGTTGGGTCAGAGTAGTCTTTGACAAATCAGTCCTACTTCTCATCTGATTTATTCACTCTGTAGACAGTTTCTTGATGATTTTAGTATATACAGTATTTTCCTCATTTCATAACCACAAAGCAGGGATGGTATACAATGTGGTTAACTGTGAACTGGAGGTTTTACCAGAGCAACGTGTCAACCAGGACTGAGATTTACTAATGTGTATCCTCTTTGTTTAAATACTGTCACATTAGCTTCCAGGGAAACTAAGTTGACTGAAGGAATGAAAAGCTTCAAACCTGGAGCTGGCTAGCTGCTGGAAGATGTCACATTTGCACCAATGTTCTTTGTAAATTTTGAAATGACACCCAAGATCTTTGCTAATTGGTCATCAGTCACATGTCCCTATTTCACCCCTCATCATGTCAACATTTTCCAAAAGGAAAGCAAACATCAGCCTTTTCAGCACCACCAGCTCACCATGAATAACTTATCACAGGCTGCTGCTCTCTTTGTTGTCTCTGATAGCTGCTGATCTGATTAATTATGTATCTAAAGTGGTGATGCTGCCAACGTGCTGGGGCTGGGGTGGGGCGGGGGGCAGGGGGGGTAAATAACACACTTGACATGGATGTTATGAAAACTCGTGCTCAATTTGAGCTAAAAGTTGATTGAGCTTAAGAAAGGTCTCTTAAAAGCCAGAACATTGTTAGCCCACCACTGCTTTCAGGTCTGGTGATGGGGCACAGTACAGTGCTGCCAGAGCCAACCTAAAGAGAGGCATCAAATCAGAGAGGTCAAAGCTGCTTAAGGCAGAAAAACAGAGGACCAGCTCAGCAGCAACAACACAAGGCAAGTGTGGCGGGGGTCCAGCACATCACCAGCTACAGGTCCAGCAACCTCTCAGCTGCTGACGGTGATGCCTCACTGGTAGAGGAGCTGAACCTTTTCTTTTCCAGCTTTGAGAAGGAGTCACCCAGCTGCAGCTGCATCCCACCCACATCCTCACAGTGGAAGAGCATGAGGTGGATGCAGTAGCCACAACTCTCCATACTACTCCGACCCACTTAAAGCAGTGGGGAAGCTATGCAAGGCTGCTATTTGTGGCTTTTAGCTCTGCGTTTAACACCATACTCACCCATAGACTGGTGTCTAAGCTGGCAGATCATGGACTTGCGGCTGGATCCTGGACTTCCTGATGAGCCACTCCCAGAGAGTGGGAGTCAGACCCCACACCTCCTCAGCCCTCAGTCTCAGAACTGGCTCCCCACAGGGTTTTGTCCTGAGCCCACTACACTACACTCTCTACACACATGACTACACCCTTTCCCAATTCAGCAACACCATCACGTATGCAGACAACACAACAGTGGTAAGTTTCATTTCTGAGGGGGATGAGGGAGCATACAGGGACGAGGTGAAGCAGCTGGCTGGGTGGTGCGAGGGCAGTTACCTGCTCCTGAAAACCACAAAGACAAAAGAAAAAAAAAAAAAAAAAAACAGACAATCAGGGTCACAGTGTTCAGGTTTGCTGGAGTCCAGTTCGAGTAGGACCTGACCTGGAGCACAAACACCACAGCGCTGATTAAGAAGGCCCAGCAGAGACTCTACTTCCTGAAAGTCCTTAAGAAGAACCACATGACACAGAAACTGCTGGTGTCCTTCTACCACTGCTCCACAGAGGCTGTGCTTACTTACTGCATGTGTGTGTGTGGTTTTCCAGTAACACAGCAGATATCAGAAAAAGCACCCCAAAGGGTCATCAACACAGCCCAGAACGTCATCAGCTGCCCTCTCCCCTCCTGGATGAGCTGGACAGCTATCACAGCCTCTATATAGCCCAAAACATCCTTAGAGACCCCTCACACCCAGGTGAGGGATCTCTCACCTGTGTCAGTTTTTCTAATTCCACATTTACTGTATGTATTGCTCTACCATCAGTGTAACTGTGAAAAAACTTGGATACAGCCATGAGGCCGGTATTGTCTGACTGTTTGACCCTAAGTTTACATACACTAACTGTCCCTGAGTGATCACCTGTGGGTTCCTCTGGGTCAAACGAGCAGCTGAGGAGTGGAAGTGTACATCCGTTTCACCTCTTTTTGTAAAACATCTTTCTCTGAAGTGAACCAACCTCTTTCCTCTGCGCTACCCATTGCACATGGTAAAGTTCAGTGCACATTCAGCCTGCAGTGCTGTATCACAGCATGCAGGCAGATACAGATGATGTTTGTTCAGTTCAAGTAAAGTTCATCACTGACCATCTCATGTCTGCAAAAAGCTAGAAGGCATAAATGATCCGTACAACAAAAAGAGTGAGCCTGGTCAAAGCTCTACTATGAATTTAGACAAAAATATAAGAATCACCCCATACCATCAGTTTGTGTATTAATGTAAGACTTTACCTTGTCTATACAGTTCATGCCTTTCCATGTTTTGCAGTAAAAAAAGTTATTTTTCTTTATTTCTGAGTGTTATTTATTTATGTATGTATTTTATTATTATTATTATTATTATTATTATTATTATTATTATTATTATTATTATTATTTCCCAACAAATAATAAAGGGATTTGTGCTTGCAGAGTATTTTTCTACGCAGATAGTCAAAGTCTGCAATCTAACATCTTTTTTTACTTACACATTAGAGACTTTGTGCTTTCTGCAGCTCAGTTTGAAGGGTTGTGGGGGACCAGCACTACAGAAAGTCTATATTGTAGGTATAAGGTTCACTGATGACTTGCCTTAATTCAGTCTCTCTTTTCAGAGCAAGTCTTCTCTCTGTCATAATCTTCTAAACCTGCAGCTTAGATTGAACGCAAGGTTTTAGCACTACAAGCTCTGAGTCAAACTCCTAGTGGCAGGAGGTCATCTGACCCCCACCCCCCACCCCCCGTCCCCGTCTTTCCACGCAGCCATGCCTCATCGGGTGATAATCAAGCTGTGTCCCAGCTATTAGCACCAACAGCAGATTAATCACGAGCCCCTGGGCACCAGACCTCTCTGGCTGAACACGAGAGGAGCTGAGCTTACCCAGTCTGACCATCCGAGCACGTGCATCCTGGACTAATAACTTTTAAATGTATCTTTATGCTCCATAGTAATTGGTGTTAAAGTCACTTTAATGGGCTGCATAGTCTAACATTACTCTCATAGTTTATAAAGCAGGTCAGGCACGTTTAAACCTGAGCGTTACATTTATGTATATATTTCGGGTCTGAGGAGTTTTTGGAATTGCTCCAGGAAACAGCTTCAGCACTGATTTGAAGTGGTCTGTAGAGGCTCTAACGTAATCCTTGGAGGTAAATGTGCCCATTTCAAGGACATTCAGGTTCCTGTCACTTAAAACCTCAGATTGTTATTTAAAGTGACTGACAACATTACAGGATCAACCCTTAGTTTGTTGGTGTGTTGAATTAAAAATGTTGGGCTTGGTAAATACACTTGTAATTGTATCAGACTCTTCTGGTCTTATTTACTACTCAACCTGATTTTAAAGTACTTGTCAAATTCACCCATTCACACCACATGTCAACACTGATAGCAGAAGATGTCAATGTAGGACAGTGGTTTTCAGTGGTAGGGGTCCACAAGATAAAACCATAGGAATCAAAATCCTTAATTTTCAGCTTATATGAAACTCAGGCACACACAGATCCACCTGTGCATTTGCATCTGTATTGTCTCATGTTCTATCACTACAAAAGGCTGAATATGAAGATTAATTCTGCTTTCAGTTTTTCATGTTAATAACTGTTAAAATTACAATGGCTGTCTGGCTATTTCATTTTGTGTCATTCCAGCATCTGTTTTGGATTGGCCTGTTAGGTGTCAGTGGCTGTGGGAAACATTAAACCACCTGAAGTAACAGTAAGGGCCCATAGTCTCAGAACCGTTATTTTGGGGACCTGGGCTGAAAGATTTGCAGACCTCTTATGTATCAGAGCAAACTGATCATGTTGTTTGCATTTACACTGCTGACTATCAAACTGGTGGCAATTTGCAGTTCAGCAACACTTCCGCATGTAACCTTAGGAGCAGAAATGTACCCCTTTAGTCCATTAAACAAATGCCAACCACACTCATCAACACCAGAGCTACTACTGGTTTATCTAATTAAACATACTTCACCCAAAACACTAATTATGTGCTGAGTGTACGCTGTAACCACAACTAAAGGCTGACGGTGCAAAAACTGCTGCTGTTAATCAGGATCTAGATCCAAGTTTCAGCACCACAGACAGCTTCAGGGCCTCACTTTGCAGGAATTTTGAAGGTCTTGTTTTTTCTCCCCTTCCTGATTTAACACCAAGGGCTCTATTTTCGTGTTCGCCGGTGAGGCGGTGGAGGGTGGCGGACCCCCCGCAGTGGTATTTTCATCTGGCGGAGCCCAGCGTACAGTGACATTTTCGTGCTCGCCGTTGGCGTATAAAGTGCGCTGAAAGCTCGCCCATTCAAACCTGGTCAGCTTTCAGTGCAGGCGGAGCGCAGCTGGTCTAGAGGTATTTTGGTAGACCAGCGGCGTATCGGCATACGTCACCGATGCTTCACTGGCAGGTTTCCACAGTGTCAGGCACATTTCAGTGCAATAAATAATCAACAACAACTAATAATCTGAGTCAGCACATACGTTTAGAGCTATATAGATTTATTCTGATCTATATCTGATCTGATGAGCACGTTTGGCACGCATCTGCTGCTGCAGCAGCTGAACAGATGATTTGTTTCAGTGATCAGATGAGTTATTTATTTTAAGCCTACATACGAATATTATAATATTCAGTTTTGTGAGCCAAATTTATTTTATATGCCAACACCTATGAAAGAGAGAGCCAGGCCATGGAGTGCGATGCGTCATTATTGGAATTCATGTTGTGATCTGTGCACACAACCCACCTTTGTCATGTGAGGTTTAAATATTTGCAACTTTATGTGAGTGTCTTTCTTTGTGGAAAAGGGTGTTTGTCCAACATTACACACACCAAATCCCTCTGTGATTTTATGAGACAGTGTGAAGGATGCCCTCTGCAGCGCTTACAGTGACACTTGTTGAGGAGCTGCCTTCTGTCGTCATTGTGTGGCATTGCTGTCTTCAGACATCTCTTGATCCCTCGAAAGTGGCGGATTTAGGAAAGGCAAGGAGAGGAGCTGATGTTATTGGTCAATACAGGTCTTGGCTGTGTTAAAACCACTCCACGCCCTCTCTCCTCCTTCCCTATGACTTACGCCGCTGGGAGGAGCTGAGTTAGGGAGGGGGGGATACTTACGCCGGGCTGCGCCGCTCACCAAAATACCAAAATGTGCTTGGGAATGCCTTGTTGTCGTGGCGGACCTGACTTATGCCGTGACTGTGCCTGTGCTTTGGGCTGTCCTACTGTCAAATCACAATGCACAATAGATCCTCAGTGGGTTTTGAACTTATTCAGACCTTATTAAGAATCTAGTGATGGAAACAACATGGATGTCTATTGTATTATAAGTAAGTGAAAACAGATATTTGCAAATTAAAGCAGTTCTTTTTTTCATGTTAGTAAAAAAGGGAGGCCTGATTACAACAAAGCCAGCCTTTAAACGGTATTTTTTTAAAGTAATTACTTTCATCACTTTCATAATTTCATTTTAAAGTTGCCATCAGATTTTATAATTTCATTGTTTAAAGAATTTTATCTATTAATAATTATCATCTTTTTTTTCCTCCAGCTAAGCGCCACCAACCATAAAATATTATACATTTTACTAAAACTAAAGAGTCTGTAGCATAGCTGCAAAAATATCTGATGTCGCTCCCTAGCCAAAAGTCTGTATGTCTGTCAGCTAAACTGACTTTTGATTTAGTTTAATTTTGTGTTAAGAGGATTTAAGAGTGTGTTCAATCAACACAGCTCAGTTTTTACTATAGAACAGTAGTTCCTCTGTGTGTAGAGCATTAAAAATGTAACCGAATAACACATCATTTTTCATCCAGAAAAAAAAAATCTAACTCCATTTGAAGAGATTACTTAAGAGTTACTTAAACATGTAAAGTGTATAAAATCATTAATCAAAATATCCAGTAAAAACACCAAAATTTCCTTTAAAGCCATGTCATTCATACTCACATCATGTTAAACCAATAGGTGTGAGCCTACAGGTCAACATTGATGCATTTGGTTTCTTCGTAGATAAACTAGGAGAGCCTGGCCGTGCACAGTCATCACTCTTGGCTCAGAGAGGAGTTAACATCATCTAAGAAACATTGTGTTGTCTAAAGCTTGCCCTGAGTGAGAGTCTTTAGGGTGTTATTTATCTCTCAGACTTTCTTACTTCCTCCACTTTGCTATTGTCTTCAATTAAAGAGTGAATTGCCATTGATTGAGGAGACTCACACAACAAAGAGGAGTGAGAGGCTTCAGGATAACCCCCCCACCTCAGCCTGCACTAACCCCACAAACACTCTTGTCAAAGATAAAGAGAGGTTTAAAGGGCTGGAAACCTGATCCACACCATAAATCTGTCACCACAGCTGACAGTCGGGAGGATGTCTCATCAAAAAGAACAAACAGCACAATTTGTTCACACCCAGGGGTAAGGCCACCGTCTTATCAAATGCTGAGATTCAGGAATGTAACACTTAGTCTGAGATCTATGAGGTTAATGATTATCTATTCCCCATGAGGGGGTCATGAAGGGATTAAAAGCAAAGTTACTATTCACACTCATTTTGATTACTTTTATACTAAAGCCTGTATTCATAAAAACACAAAGAAACACTGAAACAAGGGCTGGGAAATACATCAACAATATCATATCACTTTCTTTTTTTTTAATGGTAGAATCACCGTCTCAGTTTTATCACCATTCTTTTCCATGTTCATTTTCTAAACTACGACACAACTTACTGATTCCTTCAATAAAGCTAATTCCTCTGTTTCAAAAAAAAGAAAAGAAAAAGAATGCCTTTTCAGGTTAATTATGTGTTCAGTTTTCTTAATTTGTGCTAAGTATAACAAAATTAAACAAGAATGTTGACATGCATACGACTTCAAGTACACTCAGTCTGAGACCTTTCACTAAATTCAAAAATGAACATGTAAAAGACAAAAGCACCAAAGTTTAATGCACTTTTGCTTATATATTGAGCTCACAGCTCAGTCACTTTTTTAAGATCAATCAGTCTCTTACCTCTCATTTTGACAAAAGACGTCTTGAATTGCCTGCATGTATTTCACTTTTTAACAAGATTTAAAGCACTATCAGCCAGATGGTAATCTAATATTACTACCTACAGAGGGCGGTGATGGAAATCAATCATCAACTCATCAAGCATGAGCTTGAAACTTCTACATTAGCATGCATTATTGTCCTCAGATAGGCTGGATCTGCTGTAATGCTTCAGTTTCCCTCTTTAGGATCACCACAGAAAGGATGGCAGAAGTTAAACTCCTTTTAACTACATACCATTTTAACCTCAGTTTGTTATAAACAATGAAAAAGTCAAAGTAATTTTGAGTTGTTTAATTTTTTTTTCTTCTGAATAAGAGTGAGACTCCATTTGCCATCTTTACAGTGCATCACAAGTGTAATATGAAGGGTTGATAATGACAGGCCTCACCACCACTCAACACTGAACACTCACAGACAACCTTTATAAAATGTAGTGTACTACAGACATACTCGGTATGTACAGCTTTATAATGAATTAAGATCACTCTTGTGAACACTGTGCAGTTTGTTCAGTCTGTGGCCTCACAAAGGGCGAGATGTCAACATGCATCTGTGTTTGTGATCTTGGAATTGCAACACATGACAACAAAATGTGCCAATACTACTCTGTAAACCGGAACAAGTCCAGAAAACTCAAAATTTTGGCAAAATTAATAAATAAAATAATCAAAATTTTCTGATCACATAAGAACCTTTAAGTTATGTTGATCATTTTTTGAGTGACACTACTTAAAACATGTGTTCAACTGACTGAATGTTTATTAAGTTCAATCTTTTTTTTTTTCTTTTAAATTCCTTACTTATGTCTTCTTCATACGTACTTTAAATGATTTGATTTAAAGATACTTCTGAATACTAAATTACTGTACTGGACTGTGAAAGTTATTTGTACACAATGTATTACATCAATAGAATCTACTTAAAATATTACATCTTAATGAACTTAAAATATTTACCACTTGCCAACAGAGTACTGCTAGTGTGTGTGTGTGTGTGTGTGTGTGTGTGTGTGTGTGTGTGTGTGTGTGTGTGTGTGTGTGTGTGTGTGTGTGTGTGGGTGGGTGTGTGTGAGAGTGTGTGCGCGAACCTGCTTACCTTTCCAACATACTGTGGTTCTGATCCCATGTACTCCTCCAGGACAAAAAATTGGTTCCACACCCATCCTCTTTTAATTCTCTGGGCCCTGGACCTCCTATGTCCCCTGAGCCTCGTCCTGCCTTCTGATGATGTCACTTCCCCTGAAGGTACCCTAGCTGTATGACCCCCAAGTCCACCCCTGGCAGACATCCCTCCAGCTCTAGTTCTGCTCTGTAGCTGAGCCTGCAGGGGTGTTTGGGAGCTGTAGTCCAACAGGAAGAAGGAGCCCACCAGAAACAGAGTGGCATATTCCCTTGTTATCATCAGGGAATATCACTGATGGAAATAGCTGGAGTAAAGTTCAGAGGGCAGGCTGATGCAACAGCGGGAACAGACATGCATCCAAAGCAGGATTCAACCTGCAGGTAAGCATTTGACAACAGGACTCAATTCCAAGATTTTAGATGTAGTGAAGCACTGTCCTCACTGGGAATCATTGCTCTGGCTCAGGGAGTCATCTTCACTTTGATGCTGAAAGACTGAGGAGCTGCATTCACAGCAGTTTGTTGACTTCATGTATTTGGTAACTGAGTCGACCAGCTTGTCCTCACAACAGCTCTGACTTCAGCTCTGAAAACTGTAGGAAAAGGAAAAGGAAAAGAAAAATCCTTTAGGCATTAAAAAGAGACAATCATCTATTTACCTTGCAAAATAAAATAAGAATTATAAGACTCGCTGAATGAACATTTCATTCAGAACTGAGCTGCAAGCAAGCATAGACAGAGACTGATGTCTTAATGTGTTGTCTTCTCTGAACTTGTCAAATACAGTAACTTATCAGTGACTTTTGGTATCCGTCTAGAGCTACTCACTCTGTGGTGAAGTATATCTACAGAGTTTTACTAATTTTTATTACACTACCAAGTAAGACCCATCATAGTCATCCAATCTTTGATACATGTAATGTTACAATATCAGATGTTCATGCTGAACTGCAGGACAGTTTCATAACATGAAATACAGGAACGCTGCTCTGCTCTCTGTTGGTCTTGCTCTGTAAGATTCAACGTTCTTTCTCTTCCTAAAGACGAAGGCTCCAGAAGACAGTAGGAAGTATGGATGTTTTTAGGACAGCCGTTCTTAGGTTTTGTTATTTGAGTGCATTTTGTGTATTTTCTCTAGTGTTCCTGTTCCACTGCAGTCCAGTCTTGTGAGTTTTCAGTTTGTCTTTGACCCTGTTTCCCTCCTGTTCTCAGTGTTTTATTCTTTGAATAAGTTTTCAGTGTTTATTTTCTGTTTTATTTTGTAGTAGTTGATTCCTTGGCTGTGTCCGAAATGGCATACTACTTGTACTTCTCATACTAACCCCGCCCCTGAATTGAGTAGGCAGTGCATTCACACTGTACAGTATGCAAATTTTGTGTATGCGAGAAATTCCCGGATGTATACTCAATCAGCTTTGATTTCTGAGTATGGAGCGGAGCTTGCTTCACGTACTGCTTCTGCCCCACAATGCATTGCGGACTTCTGCCGCGAGAAGACAAGATACAAAATGGAGACAGCCGGCAGCAGCTTCCAGCACCAGCAACAAAGCGCTTATAAATGTAAGTTATTTAACTTTATATTGTGGCACGTAATCGCACAGATAATAGTTGTATTGACGTTTGAGTTTATTTGCTGCTCGACGACCAGTCAGCCTACCAATTGGTTAGCACATTAGCTTATGCCATAGCCGCAACCAAACTGTAATAACCTGTTAGGGCTTTCATCACACAGCATGGGCTGGTGATGAGGACTGTGGCCTCTGAAAGCAGGCAGGTGCACACTTGAGCTGCTTGGCCAGTAAGGCCCCTGGATAACAATATTCTAACAGACAGACTGCCCTACATATTATAACCACAGTCCAGCTTGGCAGCCATAAAATATGGTGTTCAAAAGAATCGGATCTGTAAATCAAAGTGGATGAGCAAAGTCTGATGTGCCAGTTTGGAGATATTACTTTATGGCTACCAGAGCGTTCAATCTGATAAAGGACATTCAAGGATTCAAAGATTGTTGATTGTCATGGCAACATGTCAGAGCTCTGAATAATCCACTGTGCTGACCATCATGTGCAGCTCTGCTCTGTTCAGCAGATTAACTGCTGCTGCTGCTGCCGCAGGCTGTGGCTGTGCTCGAGTTGGAAACAAGTGAGTCTCCTCTCAAGTGTGACATTTCCTGCCCCTGCTGGCCCACTTTCATTATTCAGTAACCTCATTGTAGTCATGATGCAGATCCTCAGGTGACGCACATAAAACACATTCAACCTGAAATGACAAAGAAATTATATATGTATATATATATATATATATATATATATATATATATATAATAAACTGTCACAGCCTCAGAGTTTTTTCACAGACTATCACTAAGTTTTCTGAAAACCGTGCTGGTCTTTAGGTCAGGGGGGACATTTACGTGTTCAGCCAGCCCACTCACCATCACATGACCAGACTGGCATGGATCAGTGCCTCCTAAAACAAGGGATGGTGAAAATGTCTCATGAGAGAGGCTTTGGTTTGTGAGTGTGTGCGTTTGTGTGTGTGTATGTGTGCTCAGTGTGTGTGAGAGATTTCTAGAGAGGCTTTAGTCCAGTCAGGCACATAACCTCAAACAATATTAAAATAATTTGGAGAGGAGAATGTGAGTGGAGTGGACCTTCAGAGAGGATTACTCAACTTAAAGATCTCAATGACCTTAAATTTCAGGCATGTTGTGCCACTGGATAACACATGAGCACTGATGTCACTGCACCAATTTTCTCAAATGAAAAATCCATAAAATGCTGACAAATAATGCAAGAATTGATGTTTCAATTGAAAAGTTTTACAGAGGGAGAAAACAAGAAAAACAAAAGCAAAAGACCGATAGTGTACGAAGTTTCTTTTAGTCATCCTAGCTAACGATAGTAAGGTGTGTAAGAGAGCAAGTTGGTTACAAAGGTGTTACACTGGTGGATTAATTTTAGCTCATGATAGTGGGCGATAGAGTAGAGTAGTACTTAATGTAATATCTGTGGTGGTAAGGAATTAATTACAATTACACTTTCATTGATTGACTCAATTAGCTCATTTTATTTTTCTCAAGTGTTTGAAGTTTTTGAAATAAATAATTGATTTTATTTTTAAGTTCTTTTTATTATTTTGCTCTCAAATGCACATTGCTTCAGACAAAAGTGTCTGCTAAAGTGACATTATAACAGAAAAAAATAAATAAATAAATAAATATATATATATATATATATATATATTTTTTTTTTTTTTCTGGGCAAAGATCCTGCAATGTTTTACTATTCAAAGTTGCCACTATGAAAACAATGTTATTTCCACTACAGCTGTAGATTGTATTAGTTCTAATAGTTAAGTTCTTGGGGTAAAATGATCCACCTTTCTCTTGCCTTTACTAAATGTTTACTGATAGCATTGTTGTTTTTTAATAAAACTGTCGTCATGTCTTTTTTGGCCACAATAGTTGAAAGGTTTAAATCTGACGTGGTGACAGACAAATGCCAAATAAAGGCCCATGTAAAAACAGTGAAACCATCCTTTAATTGTTATCTTAAGGGTGATAAAGGTGCATCTATGATATTCACATAATCGTACACCTGGACCTTCTGATCAGTTTGGAGAGGCTGATCCTGAGATTTGAGTGATAAACTTTGAACAGCAGCAGATGATGGAGCATGAGGACAGATTCAAGGAGCCTCTTAGAAAAAAACCTTCTTGGACTTTTCACGGTGAAAGCTCTCAGCCAAACAGACAGGTGTCTCCTGTAATATTCCATGCGCCATTTAACACTATCAAGCTAATTAGGAGTATGTCAATCACGAATCAAAGGTGTTACTGTAAAAAGAGCAGAGCTTAGTCCTATTTTTAGAGACCTTTCTTCCTAATGAGTGACTGACCCCTGACATCATGATGGAGTCATTGCACGAACAGCAGGGGTCCACAAACAGCTGATGGTAACTTTTCTCAGAGCAGGGAGCATTTCCACAAACACAAAGAGAGGTTCAATTCATGACATGATTTATTTTCTGTGTTATGGCCACGGCCACATTAGAGTTCATGTTTGCAAATGAGTCAGTCGTTTAAACGGCTCTTTCAAGTGAACAATAAGAACCGATCTGGTGAGCCATTCGTTTGTGAGCCGTTCTCATATGCAAATTGCTAACGCTGCCTTCACATGTAAACTGTGTGCCCCAAACACCAGATAGTGTAGTATAATTTTTCACATTTCTACCATGTCTTAGGGCTCTATTCTCGTTCCCACAAGCGGCGCGGGAGGTTGGAGGACCCCGTAGAGTGGTATTTTTGTCTGGCGGAGCCCGGTGCACAGCCAGTTTGGTATTTTTGCGAACTGACGCGACTGAGGTGGTGTGGTGGTAGGGTGGAGGTGTTGACAGAATCAGTTGGCGCAGTGACATTTTCGTGCTCGTAAAGTGCGCTGAAAGCTTGCCGATTCAAACCTGGTCAGATTTCAGTGCAGGCAGAGCACAGCTGGTCTCGTGGTATTTTGGTAGACCGGCGGCATAGTGTGCATACGTCGCCGCTGCCTCAATGGCAGGTTTCCACAGTGTCAGGAACATATCAGTGCAATAAATAATCAATACCAATACCAATGATAATATTCTGAGTCAACAAATACATTTAGATCTATATCGATATATCTGATCTGATGAGCGCCTTTGGCACGCGTTTGGACACTCAACCTGACTGAATTAACACAGCTGAAACCACATTAAATAAATTAAATATCCAGTGAATAGACACACATGATGAAGTTAACAAGATATGTAATTTGTCTCCCTCCTTTTTTTTCTTCCTCTTTAAGCCTACATATGGATATCATAATATTCAGTTGCGTGAGTCAAATTTATTTCATATGCCAACATCAATGAAAGAAAGAGCCAGGCCACGGAGCGCGATGCGTCATTTATAGACAGATGGTTTCGATTTTAATGCCATTTTTGGAATTTATGTTGTGATCTGTGCGCACAACCTGTGAGGTTTGAATATGAGCAACTTTATGTGAGTGTCTTTATTTGTGGAAAAGGGTGTTTGTCTTACCAGTGGGTCCAACATTACACACACCAAATCCATCTGAGCTTATATGAGACAGTGTGGAGGACGCCTTCTGCAGCGCTTACAGTGACACTTGTTGAGGGGCTGCCTCCTGTCACTATTGTGTGGCATTGCTGTCTTCAGCCATCTCTTGATCTCTTTGACTACTTCATGAAAATAATACTACGCCTAAAGCCGCGTTCAGACCAAAC